GGCAAAAGTCCACAGCTCAGCCCACCTTTCTCTTCACCTTCTCCGTTTGTTCCCCAGCCACAGTGAACAGTCCTCTGTGCAGTCCCTGGCTAGCAGGGTGACTTTTAGGTTAATTCTTAAGTCCTACCATCACAGGAATCTGCGAGAGCGCTGTCCCTTTAAATATCCAAAATAGCCAAGCCACTTTTTAAACCTACAAAATGGCGGCACCCTCCGGACCGGCAAAAGTCCACAACTCAGCCCACCTTTCTCTTCACTTTCTCCGTTTGTTTCCCAGACACAATGCACCGTCTTTCGTGCAGTCCCTGGCTAGTAGGGTGATTTTTGGGTTAATTCTTAGGTCCTACCACCACTCGGGAATCTCCAAGCCGTGTCGTCTGTGCCGTTAGGGTTGCTCAGTCCGCTGCCACACCGCAGCTCCGTGTGTCTCCTTTTTTGGTATTTTCACGCAAATTCTTCTGCTAGTTGGGGTTTAGTCCACTTATGTATCCTTCCCTTCAAGGCTCAGGGACCAAGATTATCTTCTGTGTCTGTGTTAACTGGTTTCCCTTTTCTTTGTTGAAGAGCGTCTGTGTAGTCCTTGTGCCTAGTCCGCCATCTTGCTGGACTCCAATCACCAGTCAATACATCTTGATTGCATGTTTGGTCAATTTCAGAAGCTGCTAAAAATGTTCAATTTCTTCATCTTTGACTGTAGTATAAATTTGAGCAAGTTGTATTAAACAGTCTTGCTTGTAGACATATGGATATTATCCTATCACTGACAGCTCTGTATTACAGGAGATATCTTGAAATGTTCCTTCCAATCATGAACATGAAACTACACTTCTTCAATATGTCATTCCTGGTAGACCATATGACTGTCTGGTTCAATATAGCTCTTACCAGTCCATTTCAGCTCAATAATGCCTAGGATATCAATCTTTACATTTTTTACATAGATTCCTACTTCCTACATTCCATGTTCCAAATATTAATAGGTGTTTGCAGATGTTTCTTCCCATTTTGCGTCATGCCACATCAGCAGATGAAGGTTCCAAAAGCTTTACTCCATCCATGTCATTACAGCCAACTCTATTTTGAGGAAGCAGCTCCCTAGTTGCATTTTGAGTGCCTTCCAACCTGAGGGGCTCATCTTCTGGCACTATTATCAGAACATGTTTCAGGGCTATTCATAAATTTTTCCAGTAACATGTCAGACAGTGTTTCATTGCTATTCCTAAGGTTTGCAGTAGCTAATTTCTTCAAAAGTAGGGAGCCTCGTCCTTCTTCTGAGTCTGCCTTAGTCTGGAAGCTCCGCTGAAACCTGTCCACCATGGGCGACCCTGCTGCTATTTTATATACCAGGAGTGTGGCTTACAGTTTCACAGCAACATGCAAGCCACCACAGTACCACTGACTGGTAGATGAGTGGTGGCACTCTTGCTTAGATCTTCCATTTTTCCTACATTATGTTTACATTTTCCTTGAGATCTCTGGACACGTAGAGCAAATCTATAGTAGATGTTTTAATGTCCCTGTCTGCTAATTCCATCGTCATTCTCATTTCTAGGTCTTTTTCAATCATTTTTTCTTTGGTTTTCACATTTGCCTGATTTTTTATGTAGTTCTTTGCACATCTTGTAATTTTTTATCAGATGTTGGACACGGTGAATTTTATTGTGGGGACTTTTTAATTCAAGAATGTGGATCTATTCAGAAGGCAGTTATCTGCAGTTTAGTGTTGCCCTGTTGAGACTTGCTTTAGGGTGGCTTTAAAGTAGCCTTTTTCCTAGGACTGAATCTCACCCCACTTCCAAGGCATTAGCTTCTGGAACTTCTCCTGAAGGGCCTGTTGTTAAACAAGCTCTCTGCATCTGGGTTCTGGGAGTTGTTCAGCTCACAGCTTCAGTCGTTTCTCCCTTCACAGGGGTTTCACCCTATACATGCATAGCATCATTTCCAGCCAAAGTTTCAAGAGGACCCCCATGAGGACTTCTACAGCTCCTCTCCACAGTTCCCTCCTCTCCAGTACTGCTGCCCACAAATTCCAGTTGCCTTTTCCTCCTCTGTCATTTGTGTCTCCTCAGCTGAGTGAGACCACCACTTGGACTCCCCTCCTGGTAATGCAGTCCAGGAAGTGCTTCCAGGCCAAATCCCAGGGGAACCACTGGGCTCATCTCATCTGTCTCCTTTCTCTCAAGGCTCTCAGTCCCACACTGTCTGTTGTCTAACATCTGAAAATAGTTATATCCCACATTTTGTCCAGTTTTTTGCTTTTCCACTTTGGGAGGTTAACTCTAGGTCCTGTTACTCCCTCACGACCAAAAGTGGAAGTCTTACTACAGGTCTTAAATTGTGAGACCTCTCAGTAAGCATGTAAGTTGGAAGTCTGCCCCTCCGATGCCCAGGATCTTACATTCCCATTCATTATCATTTACAAATCTGTGACAGGTAGTAGATTAATTCTGATTTTAAGTGAAACTGAGCCTTAACAAGTTCCAGTGACTTTCTCAAAGTGGCCTAGTACACGAATAGAAGAGACAGGGCATGGAATCAGGCGTGTGCATCTACAAGGCTCTTCAAACATCTCCCGGACCACTCCCAAGGGCCTCAGGACCACATGATTATGGGCTGCCTCAAACAAGATAGGTCACTAAGTTTCAAAGTCTTTTATTACAAAAAAAGAAGCAAACTCATCATAATGTACTCGTTGTAAGATACAATGGATAAGATTTTATATAAATGATACCTCACTAAAGGTGCCCTGGTGACACAGTGGTTAAGGCACTGGGCTGCTTGGCAAAAGGTCAGTAGTTCACATCTACCAGAGGGTCCACAGCAAGTAAGATGGGGCAGTCTGCTCTGGTAAGGATTATAGCCTTGGAAACCCTGTGGGACAGTTCCATTCTGTCCTCTAGGGGTGCTGAGTCAGAGATGACTCAATGGCAGTGGGTTAGACCCTCAGTAAATTTTTAAAAAGCGACATGACACTTATATTGGACATTTTAATACACCTATGTTGTTGTCGTTGTTATGTGCCATCGAGTCGGCCCCGACTCATAGCGACCCCTCCTTGGGTTTCCGAGGCAGTATCACTATGGAAGTAGACTGCCCCATCTTCCTTCTGAGGAGTGGCTGGTGGGTTTGAACCGCCAGCCTTCTGGTTAGCAGTCAAGTGCCTTAGGCACTAAGCTACCAGAGCTCCCTTAATGTACCTACAGGTGATGCTTTATAGAGAAAACAACAGCTTTTCTCTCAAACACTCTAATGCGTTATCTGTGGGTTCAGGCAGCTGGCTGTGTGCCGTTTGAGTGTCTGATTCTTCACTGCTTTCCCATGACAACAGGTATAAGAGAGTTTACAAAGTTCACCAGGACATCTGCTTCAAAGAGAGCTGTGAAAGTACCAGCATCAAGAAGACCCCAAACAGGTGCCGCCTTGGGAGGAAGTCTGTGCTGTGTCCTGTGTGTAGTTCACTGGCTAACGGGCAGGGGTGGTCCTGGGGATGAAGAGCCAACCTGTCGGCCTGTCCAGACACGCAGCTAAGCAGTGTGTGTGCTGGTCACACACAGACACCGCTGGGGACAGCTCCCCATAGTGGGTGCTGGGGGTTCACTGTCATGCACATCACACACAGCACGTGGGCGTAGAACTGAGAAGCCTGGCTTTACTGCAGGGCATGTGGGTGGCTGCAGATACAGGAGATCCCCCCTTACTTTTACCCACCACCACCCAGGTTCCCCCAGGGTTCAAGGTCACCACAGGATGACTACCATCTGCGGTTTTACTCAAAATAAAAGGCCAAACTCCACAACAGTCTTTAAATTCGTCACACCGTATCGCAGTGTTTCTAAGAAACTGCCCCCAAACCCAGATTGTGCGTAACTGGGTCAGGGACAGCTGCAGTGTGTACCACCAGCAACAGGGCTGCCTTTCCCCGGGGTGTCCTCACCCCACATGTCTCCTTGCCCCAGGGTGTCCTCCTCGCCCCAGGTCGTCCTCCGTGCCCTCACCCCAGGTGTCTCCTTGCCCTGGGGTGTCCTCCTCACCCCAGATGCCCCCAGCTCTTCCACAGGCTGCTCTTCCTCCCAGAACCCAGATCCATCCAGCCAGGCCATGCTGCCACCTCAGAGCCATGTAGTGGTATACAAACAAACCTGCTCATCTCATGTCTGGACCTCTCCTCATGGCATTACCAAGCTGGGGTTACCTGAGCTGCAGGGCAGACAGGCGAGGTGGCTGGGCTGAGGGTGCGCTGTTCTGTGTGCTTTAAGCTGCTTGTCTCTGATCATTTCAGGAAACAGAGTAACAAACACTGAAGAAGCTGCAGGTACGTTTGCCCCACCCTGACTCCCCATAGCAGAGCTGTCGGAAGCCTGAGGCATGCATCTACCCAGCCCTGGCCTGGACAGGGTGGTGGCCTCTGAGCAGGCTCCACCCAGGACAGCTCAAGGGGTACCACCAGACCAAAGCTTGCAAAATTCCTCACTGGTTGCCAAAGGAGGGTGAGAAGACACCACTAAGTCCCCAACAGACAGCCCGTGTGGCCCTGACACGAGCACATCTCATGGGGAGGCAGGCTCCCAGGGTGAGGAGCAGCCCACCCGTCTGAGGGAGGTGCACCCAGGTGCAGGCACAGCTGGCGATCAGTCCCTGGCCAATCAGAGGCGCCTGTGTCCCCACTGCCCGCAGAACCAAACCACAACAGCCTCAGGGCTGGTGAGGGGCTTACTACCATGGCCCAGAATCCACAAATAGCACAGGTCATCTGAAACGATCATGTGTTTTTTAAAAAACTCGGGAAATTCATTTCTATCAAATCAAGTCAAAATCCCCCAATTGACGGTCAAATGGTCAAACATTGGCTTATAGCCACCCCTACTCCTGACACGATGGCACAAAATGTCTTGAAAACACAAGCAAGAGGGGGGAGGCCTGACCCTGCCACAGCCCTTTGCCCAAAGGACTGCCACCACTGCACCCACTGCCACTTCCAGACACACCCCAGAGCAAGTGGGGACAGGCTGGCATTCTTGTCAAACGGAGGACAGAGAAGAGGCCCACAGCCCTCCCATCTCAAAACCTACAGGGAAACCACCCTGCTGAGCCCATTGTTCCATAGATGGGGTGCAGCCGGTGTTCCTCAGTGAACCCACTGGAGCTCCCCACAGACCCCATCCTGTTAGAGTGAGCCTCACCACTCTGCAGGACAGCACCGGTCCTCTGAGGGCAGCAGCCAAGACCCGAGGGGCAGCTTTAGAGAGGTGTGGCTGGGACCCCGTCTCCTCACACCCCACTGTTTTTTCTTTAAAGGATCCACTCTGTCAACCTCAAGAGTTTCTGAAACCCAGGAAGATGCAGCCTGAAAACTGGACAGGAAAGGACACCTTGGCAGCTGCGAACCTGGCTGGAGCCAACCTCTCTGGGCTTCCCTCTCCGGGCCTGCTGCCACCCAGCACTCCCCAGTGCCAAGCCAGACTGAACCAGGCTGCAGGCCCAATCACCCTGCTGTCCTGCCACCCACTGGAGTTGCACGAGACAGAACCAGGCTGCGATTTCTAGAGGCAGTCAATGTACACCATGAACAGAAACAACAACGTACCATCAGCCACGCATCGCACCCGGCGCCAGCCAGGACCACTTTTGCGACCTTCAGAAACCCACTCAGATCTCAGCATGAGAGAAGCCCATCTTCCTCGGAGACCTAACGGTCAAAGCAACAAGGCAACACTACCAGCAGCTCCCAAACCGAGGCTGTGGGGTCCGGGAGGGGGTGGAGGTGGCCCCCAGTAGGCAAGCCCAGCTCAGCTGGCCTCACCCACCCTCCTCCACCTGCAAGCACATTCCTGACGCCAGGGACCCACCCTCTGGACCAGTCAGGTGTGAAAGTGAACGTGGCTCACAGACGCTTTTGGTCCACAGCTGGGGTCAGCAGTAAATTCTTTCCGCTTTGCCCTACCGCTGTCATACAAACGCAGCTGCAGACCATGTGTAATTGGCTGGGTGAGGCTATGTACTGAAAAAACTTTATTTACAAAAACAGGCAGCAGGCTGGACTTGGCCTACAGGCCAGTTTGCTAACCCTTGATCCTATTTAGCTTTCTACCGAGAGCATCACACTGGGATGAGCAGTCACCAAGGCACCAGCGTGCCTGGATAGTCATGGACACACTGCCCACACCTTGCTGGAAAGCAGAGCCAGCCCCACCCAGTGCAGCCAGGAACCCCCTTACATGCCCAGAGACAGTGAGCCCCAGCAGAGCACTGGGCTAGATTCTGCTACAGAGTCTGAGCCGGGACTCAGGCCACACGGTGGGCTGTCAGGTGGTGCTCTCTGGTCCCATCTCCCAAGCAGAAGCTGCATCCCCTGACCACCTAGCAGCTAACACCCTGCCTGACTTCTGAGCAGCTCTGCCCTCTCCCTGCCACGCAGCCACCAAGCCCGCTGCAAGTCAAACAGCCAGTCCTGCCAGAGCCGCGCTGCAGCCACAGGGCTCTCCCCTCGCCTCGTCTAAAGTCTGTGAAGAGTAGAGTATATTTTAAGCTTTTTATTTTTATTAAAATTTTATGTGCGTACGCCTGTGTGTTATGCAGTCTGTCATTCTCAGAAAGGAGGCGCACTCATTTGAGAAGTCTGTGCTGTAGCCTAGAAATCACCACCCACCTACAGACTGCAGGCTCTCAGCCGCGGGGCGAAGGAGGAACTGCCACACGCAGGCACCGCTGCTGAGCTCTGCGGCGCTGGGCCGGCACAGGCTCTCCATGAACCACAGTAGGACCAGCAGATGGGAGACGAGCAAGGTCACTGGACACAGGGCCTCGGCCAACGTTAACTCGTGGTTTTTAGCTCAGAGGCCTTCATTTGTACGAGATCTGCTGACTGGGTCGTTGGAGTTGTGCGATGAACGACCCCGACGCAACACAGATTGAAATGCCCAGGAAAGGGGGTTCCCGAGTCTAAAGCATCAACAGTTTACTCTCACAGCATCCCAAGAGAACTCACTGCTTCTTTCCCGACACAGCTCATCTTTATAAACTCTCATTTCTTCCCGGAAAACATTCAAAGTCCACCTGTCATCTCCCATGGAAAATAGAAACAATGTCATCAAAAATTTGCCAGGGGCACCAGGGTTTATTTTTGGATCAAGATGAGTTAACCAGTTGTTACACAAAACTCAGAGAGGCTGACCTTCGACTCAAGCCTGGATTTTGAATTCAACACTGATCCCGACCGAATGGGCACAGAACAATAGGCTGACACCCAGGGAAAGGGGCAGTCACTAGGCCCCCGTGCGGTGGGACAGATGAATCACTGGCAGAGTGAATGTCCTCATCGTCAAGCACGTTTGTCCTTGGCCCAGACAGTCAGCAGGAACCTCCCTCCCCACGGTGGCCAGCACAGGAGTAAATGCAGAGGTAGGGTGCTGCTCCGCCCAGTGTCAGCCCCATTCCCGCAGGCCCCTCAGCTGGACTCCCTGCTTGGAAACTACTGCCAGGCCCAGATGTGGAGGGAGGCACCAAGTGCCTTCTCTCCTGCTGCCAAACTCTTCCCTCTGCCCTCGGCTGCAGCCAGCACCTGCTGTACAGGGCAGAAGCACCTCCGTGTCATGCTGTGTCCCCCAAGAGAAGGCGACCCATGCTGACCAGCAGGGTCCTGGCCCACAAGGAAGGGGCACCCTGTTGAAAACACCTGCTACTTACTTTTCAACACAACAGACCCAACAAGGACCGCATAAAGCTGACGTTCCAAGTCAGCACAGTTACCGTGGTCATGGGACCACTCAGCACTGCCGACAGCTGGGCTGGGCAGTTGTGGTGGGCTTGTCCTGGGCACTGGAGGAACTCTGCAGCACCCTTGGCCCCCACACGAGATGCCACTAGTCCTGACACCCCCAGAGAGTGGACGACAGGGACGACTGCTGCCTGACAGCATTTTCAGGGGGCCAAGCAGCAGCTGCAAGCTGTTCACAGGCTGCAGAAACCTGACTCAATGCCACAATGCCAAAAAGGCTGCCTGCAGCATCCACCTTGTTCTAGAATCTAGAATGTTCTCGGATGCCCCAATCTACCTGGCCCCTCAGCTGGGCCTCACTCCTCACACCCACAGGGCTCCCTCTCCAGCCCCAGTTGAGACGAGACTGTGGGCCCGATCCAGCACAACCTAGGCCAGCAGGCCACCTGTGAGATAGGCAGGGGAATGGCTGTGGGAGCCCTCAGAGCCTCATCCTGCTCTGTGTTCTCCAGGTCCACAGAGGACAGCTGGTAGTGCAGGCCTGGAAGTGACCTACCAGCCCGCAGTATCACAAGGCCAAGGCCAGGGTGGGCGGGCCTGGTCTCCACCTGATGGGCCAACAGCATCTAGACAGAGGAGCCCCGGTGCCTCGTGGCAGTTGGAAGCTGTGCCACGTGAAAGCGAGGCCACTGACCACCTCCTTGTTCCCCGCAGCACACCAGGTGTGACAAAGATGCAGGAAGATTTTTGTGGATTAAACACAGCATTTCTGTGCCAAACATGACACTTGTTTCCATAGGAGAAAGTGCTGGGAGGCACTGACCCCTCATTGCTTCTTCACGACTGGACCTTCCCCATCAGGAAGAAACACAAAGGGACTTGACCCAAGAAGGAACCTCAGCTTCCACATCATCACGGCACTGTCCCCAACAGGTTTCAACAGAGAAAAAATAATGCCACGCTTCTATCCAGAATGGAATGGGGTCCTTCCCACACCCAACAGCAGGTCCACTGAGGTGTCTCCAGTGTAGTCCGACCCATCAGCTTCTCAGGGGACTACTCAAAATTTTTCATGGAATGGCCAGTTTCAGGGTGCAAAATAACTTGATAAGGCCTTAGTGAAACACCCACAGAAACTGATAAAAAATTCTTTCGGACCTGAGGGGCTTTTTACACCTCTGTGCCACCATCAGTGAACTCCTCCTCCCCGTCTTCATCCCCTGCAGCTTCGTCCTGAACATCTTCATCCTCCACGTCTCCATGCAAGCTTTTAGGCCCCTCTTCCTCCTCCCGAGCCAAGAGCTTCTTAAACACTTCAAACTCCTCTGCAGAAGAACGGGCTGTCCTGGCCAAAAACTCAGCTTCTGAGATTCTAAAGATGTCCTTGAGTAGAGGGTTCAGGATCTGCGTCTGGCCTTTCTTATCAGGGGTCTGGTACCGTCCCAGGCGCTCCAGGTAGATGTGCCTTTGCTTAATCTTGGTGATGGAGTACTGCAAAAAGTGGGTCTTCACCACATCCGGATGCTTGATCCCCATACGAAAATAGGCGTACTGAAAGAAATACATACGCTCAGGAGCCTGGGCTCAGAATCGTAGTCACACACCTCCCACCACGCAGCAAACTCAACTGCCCACGAGCACTCGGAGAGAGCACCCAGTGAGCAACGGCAGAATTGGCACTTCCTCCCCGGCCTGTGTACTGGCACTCTGCTCCCCGGCATGTGTTAGCTGACAAACTTCAAATGCTGAGAAATATTTCATACTGAGAAAAATGGGGCAGAAGATAAAGGGGCAGAAGGAGGAAGTAACCAGTCTTTTTTCAGACAGGGGAACACCAAGCAATAAAAATGAAAAGCACAGGAAACGTTTCAGGAAATACCCAAGAATCTGCCCTAGTCATCACAATTGTTACCAAAACTTTAGGACAGTGATCACAGCTACATTTCCAAAATCAACATGCAAAACAGGTCGTATACATGGAGGGTGTCAGCTAATTCTAAACAGGGCATTTCCAGTAGATGCCCCAGCTGGGGTCTAAGATTGGCACCTGTGGGTCAGATACATACTGCAGTCAAGCAGTGGAGGAGACAAGATGGATGGTCCAGATGTTCGAACAGGACCTAAGGCGTTCCCTCCACCCATAAGCTGAGTGCTGAGCACACGGCCCCCCTTAAATATGGCTGAAAAGCCTGGACCGCCTGCTGTGACCGCCCTACCCCCACTCACCTGGAATTTGTACTCCAATTCACCAGGGTCCTCCCGGAGGATGTAGGGGCACCCACACAGGATCTGTGTCACCTGTTGGACCGTGAAAAGACACTTCTCCCGGAGAACCCTGACGATGTCATCGATGTCCTGCTGACTCATGGTGAAAATGTCAGGGCCACAAAGAAGCACCCTCTTCAGTTTCCCTGAAAGTGAGGAACTCCAGGTGATACGGAACCGAAGGGGCAGCTGCACCCCAGTCAAGTCAGCATTTAAACATCAAATGTGCACAGACATACCCTCGTGAGTGCGAATTTAGGGTGAGGATGTCGTATCTAAATTGAAGCAGGAAGGGCCGGCATGACCCCTCACCCTCACCACTCAGACCCAGATGCCCTGTGTGGCTGCCTTTCCCTGACCTCCGACCAGAGAGAAGCTCAGTATTCAGAGACAGACTCCCACTCATTTACTGGGAAGAGTGACAGGAAGACAGGACAGACCCTCCCCGGGGCCTGGGCTACTTTGACAGAACAGTCACCAGCACTCACAACCAAAGCTCTCATGACCAATACTCTTCAGAGCTGGATGCCTGAGCTCGACATCATCATAACAAGAAGAGCAATCTCAAGGCACATCCACAAACACCAGTGCCTGGTCAGTCGGGTGACCGCCACATATTTTACCAGCCAAACTGGGCACTTTGCAGTGAAAGCAGCCCTGTTAAAAACTGCAGTGGGATAACTGGCATGACCCCAGGCCAGAGACACATGATCTTCCACTGGACAGGTGGGCAAAATTTAGGGCCTGGAAATTTACAAGCACTTATTGTTACTAGAAAGCCCAAGAGCTGAGTCAGCCACCATCTTGCTAAAATGTGTAGGAACAAACCTCAGGAGGTCTGGCTCTATTCCACTCAGGGCTGTGCCCAGTTCACTGATTAATTGCAACCCTAACACATGTTTGAGCTTTGTCTCTCGTGTCATGTGGCAAAAAGTGACCTGTAAAGAAATAGATGAGGCCACATGTTCCCTCATCTTCTGCAGACAGACCTGAGGCGATATCCTGAAACAGGGTTCCCAAACCAGGAGAAGTCAAGGATGGGAAACAGAGTAGTGGAGCCACTCCAGTCCCAGCAGGGAAGGGGTCCTCAGAGACCCTCACAAATGACAGTAGCCTTCCCCAGAGGCCCGTAAAGGGTCCCAAGGAACTCCTGGGGTCCTTGAAGTTTAAACTGTATAGGAGCAGAAACAGTCACACCTCCAGATTCACACAAAACTGGAAAGACCTCACACCCCACAAAGTATATCAGAACATCCGGCTTAGTCTAAGTCTTTGTACCACATGACCACTTCAAGTTAAATGAAGCATCAGGGATTACATATGTGCACGTACATCCACACCATGCACCCACACGACATATCCGTCCACACTACACGGCCACATCACGTATCCGTATACCACACCCCCCATACCGTGTACCCACATCACATATCCGTCCACAACACGCAGCCACACCACATACATAGCCACACCACATATCCGTCCACACCACACATCCATACCACATATCCATCCACACCACACACCCATACTGCAAGTCTATAACATGTCCATACTGTGGGCCTACACCACATTCTGTCCACACCACATACCCATCTACACCACACACCCACACTACACGTCCATACCGTGCGCCTACACAACAAATCTGTCCACACCATGTGCCCAAACTGAGGCGAGAGAGAAGAATTTATGAATTATAACCTTTGCCCAACCTAAGTAGGGAAGTTCTGTTGAGCAGTGAAACAACTTATTTTGAGGCCAGAGACACTGGGCTTGAAAAACCATATATAGAGAGTGCAAAATTCCTCTGCCCTGCTCCCCCACCCTTCTTCCTTTGCCCATACTCCCCTTCTTCTCTTCCCCTTGGGCACATTTAACTTCTAAAACTGCTAGCTGCAGGTGCTCTTTTTGCAGGTAACCAATCACCCTTTTACCTCGAATACCCCAGAAAAAGAACCCCCACAAAAGCCCTGTATAACCTTTACTCAGTCTCTGGACATGAATCCACTAAGTCTGTTCAACCCACCAGCCACTCCTCGGAAGGAAGGTTGGGGACTCTACTTCTGTAGCGATACTGCCTTGGAAACCCAAGGAGGAGTAGCTATGAGTCGGGGCCGACTCGATGGCACATAACAACAAGAAGTCTGTGCTAGCATAAACTAATAAAGGTCCTTCCTTTTTCATCATCCTGCTTGGTGTTAGTGTTTCCCTTGGCGGCTCCCATAACAAAACCACGTGCCCATACCATGCACCCACACCACGTATCCATCCACGCTACATGCCCATACCACGCACCCACACTGCACGTCCATACTGTGTGCTCACACCACATATTCATCCACACGACATACCCATCCACACCACGTGCCTACACCACATATCCGTCCACACTACATACTCATACCACATATCAGTGCACACATGCCCACACACACCCCCACACTGCACGTCCATACCACGCACCCACACCACATATCCATCCACACCACGCACCCATACCACGTATTAGTCCACACATGCCCATACATACAACCACACTGCATGTCCATAGCGTGTGCTCATACCACACATCCATCCACACCACGTGCCCATACTACATAGCTGTCCACACCACATGCCCACACATGCACCCATACCACATATCTATCCACACCACATGCCCACACCATGCACCCACACTGTACATCCATGCCGTGTGTCCATACTGTGCACCTACACCACATATCCGTCCACACGATGTGCCCACACCACATCTGTCCACACCACGCACCCATACCACATATCCGACCACACCACACACCCACACACGCACCCACACCGCAAATCCATACCGTGTGCCCATACCACATATCCATCCACACCACGTGCCCTCACCGCACGGCCACATCCACTGAGCACCTCTCATGTGCTCCACTGTCCTAGGTGCTACAGACCCCACAGGGAACAAAACAGACAAGATAATCCTGTTGCCCAATTCTTGTGTCTTACCCCAACACACCCTTTCCTTCCTGCAACACCTTCTGCAGGGAAGGTCACTGCTCCTCAGCTCCGGGCCACAGCACCACTGACTTCTCCCCAGCACCACTCCCAACCCTTCCGACTTGATGCTACTGTCTCCCCACCTGACGCCCTCAGCCTGGTGCACGAAGCCGGGGCCTGCCTGTACCTTCGCCAAGCCCGAGCTTCCGCAGGTAACCGCAGCGCTTCCTCATCTGCTTCACAGGCAGTTTCAACAACTGAGGACTTTTCTTCAAGGCCACACATATGGGCTCTGGGTTCAGACCCAAGAGTATCAGCTCTGAAGTGATGTCCAGCAGCTGTTGAGGGCTGGGACCTGGTTGGATGCTGAGTAATTCACCAACATGGGCTTCACTGAAACCCATGTCCAGGAGGGAACTGGTGACCATCTCCAGCCCCAAAGGCCCTCCGTCCACATGTGACCTTGATTTCTCTAAGAGAAATGGCATGGGAGCGGTCCTGCATTCTGGCTCCTGCGTGTACTTTCTGGATCTAACAAAGGAGAAATTCTCAGGGCTCCCTGCATCAGAAGCTGCAGTCAGTTGCGGCAACAAGGAAGCTGTCGTCCTTCTCTGTTCTCCAAGATGAGACGTCTGCCTGGCAAGCTTGGCCCAGGTGAGGGGGCTCAGGCGGTACAAGCAAAAGACCTATAAAACACAGGACCAGATGCAGGGACATCAAGCTCGACTGGCATACCATACTACTACACAAAAACATTGTTCTACAGCCTAGTTTGGTGAGTAGCAACTGGGATTTTAAAAGCTTGCAAGCGGCCATGTAGATGTAATGGAGCAAAGAATGAAGAAAACCAAAGACGCATGGAAACAATTAGTCCAAGGGACTGGTACACCATGTGATCCTTAGACTTTATATATAGAACTAGATGGAGCCTGGCTACTACTGTCAACCACCCAGAAGGGGACTGGTGCAACAAATCCTTGACAGAGTGAGAGAACAATGTGGAACAAAACTCAAAACCATAAAAAAAAGACCAGGTTTGCTGGTCTGATAGAGCCTGATGGAACCCCTGAGACTATGGCCCCTAGCTGTCCTTCAGGTCTGGAATTGAACCGACTCCTGTGGCTTCCAGCCAAACAAAACACAGGCATATGAGTTGAACATTTACCTCAAGTAGATACAGTCCTTGGAGAGAACAATCATGGGAGAAAGAAGGGCCCTCTATGACGGGAGACAGCTTGGGGGCAGGAGTGCATGGAGGGAAGGACACAGGAAGAGGTAACTACCGGGAGGAAGTGGGCGGGGAGCTGTTGCATCTGGGTAAATTGTAGTCAGTGTCATGAGACAAAGTTTATGTGAGCTGTTACATGGAAAGTGAATTTTTCTGTAACCTTTCACCCAAACTACAATTAAAATTAAAAAAAATAAAAAACGGGACCAGAAGGGGATCAATTCCCCACCAGCCAGCGACAGGGAAACCACCCAAATTTTCAGCCAAGGGTCCGGTGGCTCGGTCCCAGCAAACGGAAGAGCTTCTGTAAGCAATTTGCAAAATCCTATCTAACCCTAACCACCCGCCGAGAGGCAGTCAGTGTGGAGAACCGGGTACTGACGGGCAGCAGAGAGCCAGCCGCTCCTGCGCGGTTTGCACTGCAGCCCGGGAGAGTGGGAGAGGGCCTGGCTCAGCACCGCCTGGTACAGCCCGCCTGAGGAAGGCGGGACGCACGCTGGTCCACGGAAGAATCTCAGTCTCCAACGGGTCAGGCCTGCGCCCAGCCAAGTCAACGCGATTAACAAGCCTGTGCGCTCGCCGCTCCCGGGCCCCGTCTGCCGCCAAGTCCGAGCGCCGCTGCTTGCCTGTTTTGCGAGAAGAGCCGGCCCTCCCCGGACTCGTCCCGCACTCCGCCCAGCGCCAGGTCCGGGGAAAACGGCCGAAAGTTGCTGAGTGGAAGAACGAGAGCCGCACGTCCGGCGTGCGACACCAGGCCGGTGCGCAGCGACCTCCGAGAAGGCTCTGGCTGCGGCTCCCACGGCCTGGTCGTGAAGCGCCGCCCCGACGACGGCAGCTTCTTCGCGTCCCCGCAGCCCGCCCGCCCGACGCCCCGCCATAGTCCCGACGCTCGGGACGACCTCACCTCACAGCAGAGAGAAGCCATCGCATCCAAGCCCGCGCCGGAAGCATCCTATCTCCCTCATCCGTCACTTCCGCTCTTCAGGCCGGTCCCACCCTTCCTTCCGGTCCCTCATGGCTCTCTCCCCGGCGCAAGCGCGAAGGCGCCAACAGCGCGTTCCGCCGGCGAAGGGCCCATGGTAGCCGGGAGGGCCCTAGGCCGGGTCCCGGGCCGCGTTAGCGCCGCTCCGCTCCTTCTCGAGCCGGGATCCGGGATTCGGGGCGGGGAGCTGTCGCCCGCTGCTAGGTCGGCGACCTCGAGGCGAGCGGCAGCAGAGGTCCGGGGGGCTGCAGGCCAGGCCGCCCTGCCCTCCCTGGCAGGCTCTCAAAAAGACTCACTGCCGTGGAGTCCACCCGACTCATAGCGACCCCTCCTTGTGTTTCGGAGGCAGTATTACTACAGAAGTAGATTGCCCAACCTTCCTTCCGGGAGCGGCTGGTAGGTTTGAACCGCCAGACTTCTGGTTAGCAGTCACACGCCTTAGGCATGTCTAGCCCCATAAATTCAGAGGCCCTGTAACAACGTACTCTTCAAAGTGGGCGCTCCATAATGTGGCGCTTCCGCGTCGCCTCTGCCCCTGCTAGTTTTTGGCATGCCCAGGGCTCTCTTGGTTACCGTCACCCTGCCTAGTTACCTGCTTGGCTTTCCCGCGTCTTAGAACTCTCTCAAGTCCAACAAATAAGTAACTGTTCCCCCATACCTTGGCTTCAGATTATCTTTATATCACTGTTACAAAAACCCACTGCCATCCAGTCAGTCCCAACCCACTGACCCCATAGGGCAGAGCAGAACTGCCCCATAGGGTTCCCAAGGCTGTAAATGTACGAAAGTGAAGCACCTCATCTGAGGAGCAGCAGGTGGATTCCAACCGCTGACCTCTTGGTCAGCAGCTGAATGTTTTAACCACTGTACCACCAGATCTCCTTAAAAGACCTAAAACTTTCATTTCGGTTGGAGCCAGGCCATTTCCTGTGGCGCCACAGTAACTTTATTAGAGAAAGCCAGGATCCTTCCTGAAGCAGTTTCTTCTTAGGGTAAAGATCAGGTAGTCCCATAAGGATGGATCCAGACTCAGTCAACATTCTTACTGTATAAAAATCAAGGCCACATACACAAAAAAGACCAATCTACTCTTGTTGTTGTTAGGTGCCATTGAGTCGTCTCTGACTCAGTAAGCTTATGCACAGCAGAACAAAACACCGCCCAGTCCTGAGCCAGTTCCATGATTCTTGCTATACTTGAGTCCAGTGCCACCACCACCGTGTCAATCCATCTCGTTGAGGGCCTTCCCCTCTTTCGTCAACCCTCCACCTTACCAAGCATGACATCCTTCTCCGGGGAATGGTCCCTTCTGACAACATGACCAAAGTATGTGAGACGAAGTCTGGCCATTCTCACTTCCAAGGAGCATCTCGGCCGCACTTCCTCCAGGACAGATATGTTAGTTCTTTTAGCAGTCCATGGTACTTTCAGCATTCTTTGCCAACACCACAGCTCAAAAGAATCAATTCTTCTTTGGTCTTCCTTATTCATTGCCCAGCTCTCATATACGTATGAGGTGATTGAAAATACCATGGCTTGTGTCAGGTGCACCTTAGTCCTCCAGGAGACATCTTCACTCTTCAGCACTTGAAAGAGGTTCTTTGCAGCCAATTTGCCCAGTGCTATACGTCATCTGATGTCCTGACTGCTACTTCCATTGGTGTTGATTGTAGAACCAAGCAATGTGAAGTCTTTGACAACTTCAATCTTTTCTCTGTTGCTTATAGGACCAGTTGTGAGGAATTTTGTTTTCTTTATATTGAGACTGTAGTCTTCAATCTTCTTCAGTAAGTGCTTCAAGTCATCCTCACTTTCAGCAAGCAAAGTTGTGTTGTCAGCGTATCATAGGTCATTAATGATTCTTCCTCCAATCCTAATGCTATGCTCTTCTTCATATAGTCCAACTTCTTGGATTATTTGAATAATAATCTATATGAAGAAGAATGTATTCTAGAGATGCTCAAATACCCTTTGTTGAAAAACATAACCAGAGTAATGACAAGAGGGATGACAGCAGGGCCCTTATAAAAAGGACAAGCACCTCCTGACTAAGCAGTCTGGTTTCTCTCAGGATGGGATCAATTCTGTTTCAGCCTAAGCAATCAGCACACCTACTGCTGCCATTGAGTCAAGTCAGCTGTCATCTTTGCTCTGTAAGAGGCAGTTCTGGGAGCACGGGGGCTTCACAGGCTCAGCCATCTGCTTCTCGTCTGGGCACCCCACGCCACCTGCGTGCCCCAGCTTGTAATTTCATCATAAGCATCATATGCACTATAAGGAGAAGCACCTGGAATTCTTTTCTTTACTCTGGAAAGTCTGTTTTTAGGACATCCAGAAACTCATCTAAATTCTGAAGAGGAAACAGCCCCAACTCACCTGTGACTACACACCTCCCAGAACCCAACTTCATTCCTGTTCCTGATGGAGGAGGGTTGTCAGTCACGTGAGGGTGGGGGCACTGGGCAACATGTGCTCAAGGAAGGGGGTGACAGAACCCTATAGCCTGAGAGTTGGAACTACATGTGCCCTGAAATAAACAAGTCATGTGCCTCCTTGGTTTCTAGGGAGCCCTGGAAACCCCATGTGGGGTAGACTGAGGTGGCCTGGATGTGGGCAGCAGTGATTTTGGGCAGGAGCCCAGGAACCTCAGAAAGGGTCCATACACGTGATGATACGTGGGGATGGAAGGTCTTGTTTCCTTCCTACGTCTCACTGCAAGAAAAGGTCTCACTCTGTACCCCTCAGGATGTCATGTGCCTGGATGGGACACTCCATATCCGAGGGGATGACTGCAGCCCCCACAAGTGGTCATGTGCCTGGATAGTGGACTCCGCGTACAAGGGGATGACTAGAGTCCCAGAGCGAGGAGCAGCCCAGCTGGGAGTGGGGGCTCAGGGGCCTGAACAATGCAGCAAAGGACCAGATAGGACTGCACACCCCTCATGTGGTCACAGCATGGGAACACCAGGTGTGCTGAGTGGTAGTAAAGGCCACTGCAGCATGACTTCTGGGAGGCCACTGGAGCCACCTCAGGGTGACCTCGGGGAGGCTACCAGGGCCACTGAAGGGCAGGGCCCACAAAACAGACAGCCAGGGCAGGCCTGAAGAGCTGCTCAGGGGGAGAAGACAGGCCAGACAACAGTTCCCACCCCACCCTGGTCTTCTTAGACTGAGCACAGCTGCAGAACCCCAGGCCCTCCAGGGAGGGACCTCCGCAGAGACACCCCCAAACTGACAGAGACTGGACTTCTCTCAAGCTGCCACAAGCAGGGTCTCAGACATGGATTTGACTTGATTTGGAAAATAAAGGAAGTGCTTCCCATGCATGTGAACAGTCCACACGGCCCACATCGGATGACTATTTACTGGCAAAGCTGCTTTAATCTGAAAAATGTTCAAGAAAATAAATTAATGGAATTGTCTGAGCCTTTGGCTAGTCAGTCCCCCTGTGCCCACTACTCAGACGGGCACAGGCCAGGTCAGGGGAACAAAGGCATGTACACGTGCGTACAAAAACAGGAGCACTTTGGATCTGCTCTGCCTTTCAGAAGTTCACAAAGTTAAAGCCTTAGTCGTGTAGGGCTCCACACGAGAGGACGTGGGTCCCCGCCTATCTCATGAGCCTGGAGGAGCCGGACCGTTGCCGGCTTCTGAGCTAGCTTGAGCAGACGAGCACACGAGCCTGTGGGGGTGAACGGGCCTCACATCTGAGGATCTGCTTTCCAGACGGACGAGCTAAGGACAGCAGGGCATTTCTAGTGTTGTAAAGACAAGCTGCAGGAGCCAGCACCCAGCAGGTCCGCAGAGCCGCTAGGACGTCCGTGCGCATCCCGGGCCCAGGGAACCACGCGGTTCCAGGCCCTGCACCACTGCACTCGGGCTCCTCCTGCCCATGTCCACGGTCATGCTGGCCAGGCCTCCGCTCTCTGTAGGGAGAGGAGGACGCTGCACTGCTGACAGACTCCAGGACACTGCTTCTCTCCGGAAAAGTCCTGAGTGAAGTCCTCCTGGGACCTTCAACCCCAGCTGCTCTGGAGGCGGAGAGCCTGTTCGGTGCTGGGGGGAGTCTCCCCCGGGGCAGCAACCCGGCTTGGTTGCTCTGCCACCCCCAGGGAGGAGGGGCATGAGCAGCCAGGCCCCGCCCACCATCCAGGCCCTCCTCCTGCCCTGCATCCCAGCCAGAACACCACAGCTGCATCTCAAACCACCTGCCCTCAGCCCGCCCACCTGCCAGGCCACCATGCTGCAGGCTCAGGTGGGCAAAGCCCGGAATCTCCAGGTTTGCTCAGGGACCCTCATGGATGAGAGGCCAGCCCTGACCCTGCCATCTGCCTGCAGGGCAGTGTGGGGGAGGGAGCTGCCACCACCTTCTCCTCCCCCTCCTTGTCTTTTTCTTCTTTCCCTCCCCCTTCCTATTATTCCCCCTCCTCGGGATCCTCCCCTTGCCCTGCAGGGCTCACCTGGCTTGTTCACCTGACACACCTCCTCCCAGGTGTAGCCTGCAAGGTTCACAGGCTGTGTCACCCACGGGTCCTCCACCAGCTTCTCCAGGGTGGTACGTTGTTCAGGGGCAGGCTGCAGCAGCCCAGACAGGAGGCTGAGGAGCTCTGAGGACACAAAAGACAGCAGCGTGGGTCAGGGGAGCCGAACACCCCTGCAGGTCTGGGAGGAGCCAGCTGGGGTTCCGTCAACACTGCAGGCTCCTGGGCCCACCACAGGGGCACATCTGAGTGCAGAGGTGCTCCTAGGGTCCCACTGCCCAGGGCCCCTAGCTGTGCTGTGGCAAGTACTGCAGGAGATGCCGTCACTCTGAAGTGATGGCCACTTAGCCAAGCCACATGGCACCGAGGTTCCCACCAGGCTTCGTCAGGGGCTTCCGCTGTGGTACTTCCCAGCATGATGTGCACAGGGGGACCTGCCAGGGAAAAGGGAGGAGGGGCCCCCACAGGGGAGCTCCTGGTAGGTCCCAGAGCAGAGCCAGAAAGCACTCTGAGCAGCCCCGGCCCTGGCATCTGATATGGGGCCTGGGCCCTCGAGCCTCCAGCCCAGTCAAGGAGGGACATCCTGAGAGCCTCTGAGGGAGCACGAGACGGCTTCTGTGGGCAGAACAGCTGCTGTGGGGCCAACGGTACACCAAACCCTCTTCGGGATTCTGACCCGTGCAGACAGCCCAGCGCGCAGGCTCTGTGCGGGGGGTGCTCGGCTCCCACTGATTATCAGCATAAAAGGTCACTATAGGCTCACAGGTTCTGGAGATAGCAAGGGCCACACAGCCGTCACCCCATGGCCCTGACTGCAGGACGGGCTCTTCAGGCAGCCACACCACCTGCAGCCGTCCTCCTCCCAGATGAAACCAGCACAGGCTGTCGGGAGGCTGGGTAGTGGAGTTTCCTGCTGTTACCTGCTAATACCTACAGAGCTTAGGTGTGACAGGAAGCCCTGGCAGCCAGGATCCAGGACCAACACCCCCCTCCCCAGGGTGACCTCACTTTGTAACACAAGCCTGTGATCTCACAGTGGCCACCACACCAAGTCTCCTTACTGCTCAGACCTCAGTCACAAATCCAAAGAGAGGACTAACAGAATCATCACCTTGAAAGTTACATTCGTTACCCTACATTCAGACTGGAGTTCTAGGGGGGGTAGGAAAAAAGAGGGAGATGAGGTGGGAGGTGACATGAGGCGGAAGGGTGAGGACGCGAGGCAGGGGGGTGAGGACGCGAGGTGGGGGTGAGGACGTGAGGCGGGGGATGAGGACATGAGGTAGGGGGTGAGGATGAGATCATGGGGGGTGAGGACGCGAGGTGGGGGGTGAGGACGTGAGGTTGGGGGTGAGGAAGAGATCGTGGGGGGGGTGAGGCAGGGGGGTGAGGATGAGATCGTGAGGCAGGGGGTGAGGACGTGAGGTGGGGGGATGAGGACGTGATATGGTGGGTGAGGGTGTGAGGTGGGGGGTGAAGATATGAGGTGGTGGGGTGAGGACAAGGTCGTGAGGTGGGGGTTGAGGATGTGCAGTGGTGGATGAGAACGAGGTCGTGAGGTGTAGGGGGAAGGACGAGGTTCTGAGGTGGGGGGGAGAGGACAAGGCCGTGAGGTAGATGAGGTCGTGAGCCGGGGGGTGAGGACAAGGTTGTGAGGTGGTGGGTGAGGTCGTGAGCTGGGGGCTGAGGACGTGGTTGTGAGGTGGGTGGGGAGGATGAGATCATGAGGTTAGTGATCAGGATGGGGTGTGGCTGGTAAAGAGCAAAGGAGGAGACGGCAGGGTGCAGGGTGCCAGGACAATGGCTCACCTTTTGACACCACGTACGGAGGGTTCAGCACGGCTGCAACAGTCTCCTCCAACTCACAGAAGGGGTTTTCCTCAAAGATCAGGGTGTACAGGGTGACTCCCAGTGACCACATCTCCAGCTCTGGGCCCCGGTACCTGAGTGGAGAGGAGAAGGTGCTGTGTGGCCTGGCAGGGCTCAGACCCAAAGTAGCGGCCGGCCTTTGTGAGCAGCAGGGCCTCCGCTCAGCAACAGCAGGCAGTGGACGGTGAGACCACGGCCTCAACCCCACTGAGCATCTGCTCCTCATGGTACCGCTGTGTCCTGCAGGGGCAAGGCAAACAGAGACGCACTCCACTGGGCTCTGGCGCACAGCATGAGTAGCCTGGAGTGTCCACTCATAGCCCATGCCCATGGTGATGAAGTGTGTCATGGAGGCAACAGTGGAGTGGATAGACAATCTGAGTCAGTCTGCCTGGGCTCAAAGCCCAGCTCCACCCAGGCCTCCCAGACCTGTCCCCACACACTTGCTGCATGACAACAACCAACAGCCTGCCATCTTACAGCACGCCACAACCGCCAGCCCAGCCGCAGCCTGCCATCCTACTGCACACCGTGACTGCTGGCCCAGCTGCAGCCTCATGGGGACTCACTGTTAAGTACTCTACTCCACACTGCACCATGCAGGGAAATGGCCATCCATCTCACACAGGTAAAAACACACTGGTTTACATGTGAGTAGAAACAGTCCATGCAAACACAGCAGGAACCCCTGGAATCAGGAGGTCCCCATAGGTGCTGCAGCAATAGTCAGATGGCTAAGCTCAAGAGAGTCCTGCCCAGGCCCCAGCCCCCAGGTGTGGTTGAGTCGAGGGTACCTCCCTGGTAGGTCAGCAAACCATCTCTGAGCATGGATCCCATTGTGAACATGATCCTGTGTCAGTGCTTTCGCCACTGCTGGGTTTCTTGTATGGCCAGGACCCCACTATAAACACAATCCTCTGTGTCAATATTGTTCCCACTGCTAAGTTTCTTATATGGCCAGTGTGTCACTGTTTTATTGGAACAGATCATTATTCCTGTCATCATTAAGTAGCCTGACGGAAGAAGAAATCTCTTCTCTTATTGGAAAAGTCCCATCTTTAAAACAAACCACCTAGATTTTATCTTTCATCTTTTTTGTAACTTCGTATTATATGAAACCCCAGACATAAACAACAGATGAGAAAATAATAGTGTGAACTCCTGTATCTGTTGCCCAGCTTTCGGGACCAGTTTTACTTGGCTTGCCTGCCCACTTATTTTCCAAAACCTTACCTTTTGTCACTAACACGCTCATCACAAAAAGGCACGAACTGAACCCATTTCCCACCTAGGCACCAATCACAGCACCCAATGAAGAACAGGCTGCCCGGAAGCACTGACACGTACGGGCTTCCCATGAGCACCTCGGGCGCGCAGTACTCGATCGTGCCACAAAAGGTGTAGAATAACTTCCCACTTTCCAAGTAGGCGGCAGAGCCAAAGTCTATCAGCTTAATCGTGAAGTCCTCCGCGATCACAATGTTCTCATCCTTGATGTCCCGGTGAATGATGTCCTTCGAGCGCAGGTATCCCACCGCTGACACCAACTGAAATCAGGAGGCCAGACACAGCTGCTTAGAAAAACAACTCAAATACAGCATACGTTTGACAGTAAACATCAACAACAAAGGACAGCAACAAGAAGAAAAAACTCGATCCAACTTATACTGAACTGATGACAGTTCCAGAGCTCTGGCTCTTGGAGACACAGTCCAGACCACAGGGGAGGCAAAGCAGTTCAGGCAGGCATGCTCACAGCACATGGCACACAGCATACCAACTGACAGGAAGTAATTTTGATCCCTAGGACATTCACTCACCCTGTCTCAGGGAGGCAGTGCCCTGATGAGAGCTCCAAATATAATCCCCCAGATCCCACTGGTGGGCCGACACCCTTCTGTCCAGATGTAACCCAGCAATTTGGGGACAGAGCTGGTAGCAGAAGACAAGGCCCCACCTCCTTCAGGGCTCCGGCGGCCCCTCCAGGAGCAGTCTGACCATCACTACACTTTCGCCAACACGTGTGGGGTTCTCAGACATGTGGACTTAACAGTAATGCCACTGGGAAGGGTAACATTACCACAGCACACCATCACCTGCTCAGACCTGGAGAAGCCTGTACATGTCTTTGACAACAGAAGTCAACAAAACTAGCCTTTCAGTTAAGTTTCAGTCAGATTAGTAAATTTCTGAGTGCATCTAATTTGCATATAAATTGTACCATCAACGTACTACTTCCATGAATGTAGTCAATCATTTTAATCCTTAGAGGCAATTCTCTATTTACAAACAAGTATCTTTGAATCAGAAGCAATAGCTAATGGTGGGTTAATAAGCCCAATTAATTATTATGTAAAACACACACACATGCACATTTACATACATACACACTTATAGACACATGTGAATAGGCACACATACACAGGCATGCACACATATATGCATAAAAGCATACACATGAATACATATACACACTCATACACATACCTATACAAACACACATGTAAATATATAAACATACACATATACATACGCATATAGCCGTCATGTAGATACTAGAATCATCTGCACAGTCCTGTCATATAACTACCAGAACTGTCCCCACAGCCCTGTCATGAGGTACTAGAGCCATGTGCATGGCCCTGTCTAGTAGGTTCTAGAACCATCCCTCAGCCCCCTCCTCAGCTCTGTCACGTAGATTCTGGAACCATCCGCAAAGCCCTGTCATGTAAGCACTAGAACCGCCCCCATGGCCCTGTCATGTGGGTTCTAGAACCATGCACATGGCCCTGTCATGTAGGTTCCAGATCCATCCCCTCCTCGGCTCTGTCATGTAGATTCTAGAATCATCCACACAGCCCTGTCACGTAGGTACTAGAACCATCCCCAAGGCCCCGTCATGTAGGTTCTAGAGCTGTCCCCTCAGCCCTGTTACAAGGTACTGGAACTACCTCCATCCCATAGACTAGGAAACTGAGGCTTCGGGGAAACGATGACTTCAGTGGTGGGGTGGGGTTGAGGACTCAGATCGGATGCGAGGGCTCTAAGTGCAGCCTGATGGTTGTAATGGTTAATCCTTGTGGTTGGTGTGGATACTGGATGGCGACAAAAAACCCCACACATCAAGCTCTTCCCCGACCATTTCAGGGCGGCCTCCGACATCACCCTTCCATCCCTCCCTTGCCTTGTCCACTTCCACTGTAGAATCCTCTTCTCTAGGTTCATAGCTTGTTCCATGAAACCCAACACCTGGAGGCTAGACACAGCTCAGAGAAGGGCAGGTGTGCATTGCTGGCCTCTGCCAGCCCACCAGGGCTGAGCCCCAACCCATGCCCACCCTGTGGCTTAGGCCTGCCCTCACCTGCCGGAATATGTAGCTGGCCAGGGGCTCATCCAGGTTAGGGTGGCAATCGATGAATGTAAAGAGGTCCAGCCCAGAGCCATGTTTCTCCATCACCAGCTGGAAGAAGCTTTGGTTCTCAAACACGTCCAGCACCTGGGGAAGAGAGCTGTGTCCAGCTCTGCCAAGAGGCCTTCTGGCCAACAGGCAGATAGAGCGCCCTGCACACGTGGGACAGCCTGCCACCTTGATGATGTTGGCATGCTCCACCCTTGAGAGGATGGCGATCTCCAGGGTCACTTTTCCGAGTTTGGGATCCTCAACCCAGCAATCCTCCAAGACCTTCTCCTTCTTAATAAACTTCACCACAACCTGCCAGGAAACAAAGGATGAGAATGGCTGGGTGGCTCCCGCAGCTCTCTGAAGCCCAGTGCAGTGGTCAGTACCCATGGTGGCAACAGAGCCTCACGTTCACCTCCTACCTCCAGGTCCCAGAAACAGGAAAGAAGAAATGAACACACATCCTGGGGGCTCTAGGGGTGGACAAGGAGGCCAGTGCTGACCAGGAACAATGGCAGAGCCACGCAAGAAGGTCAGCGCTAACCACAAACCATGACAGAGCTGCACAAGGAGGTCAGCACTGACCAGAACAATGGCAGAGGTGCACAATGAGGTCAGCGCTGACCACGAACCATGGCCGAGCTGCGCAAGGAGGTCGGCGCTGACCAGAACAATGGCAGAGCCGCGAGGCACCGAGGGGAACGTTCCAGGTGGGGGGAGCTGGAGTGAAGGTCTGAGGCAGGCATGTGCCTGGCCTGTGTGAGGCCTTCAAGGCTTCCAGGGTGGCAGGAGTGGGGAAGTGGCAGGACAGATGGACAAAGGCCAAGCAGGAAAACAGGTAGGAGGCTTCTGTAACATCCAATCATCTCTGAGATGGGCAGGTGAATGCAGGTGACTCTGGGGCACCAGCAGGCAAGCGATGAGAAGGGACAGATCTGCAGGCCCTTGACAGCCCAGACGAGCAGTGTGAGAGGGAGTGGGAAGACAAGGAGGAAGCCAGGGCCAGAGTGCTGGGCTGCAATTCACTGAGAGGACCTGAGAGCCAAGAGCCCATGAGGAATGGCTGGGCCGGTGCAGGCAGCGAAGCCCAACTTCAGACTCCCCAGGTGGAGGTGGAGGTGGCGCTCACGCCCAGCTGGAGAGGGCAGGAGCCAGCAGCCCCCGCACATCCCTGGATGGAGCTCAGATGGAAAGGGGGGGGGGGTGGCAGGAAGAAGAAACAAAACAGAAGAACAGAATTCCCATGAGAGACAGCTTCATTCACACTTTCCGATCCAAAGTCCTACCAAGTACCATGGAAGAATAAAGAAAAAAGGGCATCTAAATACGGCCTGCAGAGGCTTCTGAACCCCCAAAGATTGGGAAGAAAATCAGAAATAAAAACAATCAGGTTGCTGGCAGCAAAATTCACTTGAAGGCAAAGCCAGATAGCAACAGACAAAGCCACAGTGCCCCACGGCACAAAGGCCGGGTAAACAAGGTGCACACCAGGCCTCAGAAATCACCCAGCCTCAGGGAGAACAGTGCAAAATCAATCTCACCAGATGAACAATGAGTACAGGGAGAAAACTGGATACACAACCAACAACAGAAGGGCACAACTCGTCTGCTGAAAACTCCAGAACAACTGCTGAACCAAGGTTACCACCACACTCACTGCATCAAGTGGCTTCCAGCTCACAGCGCCCCTAGAGGACAGAGTGGAACTGCACCAGAGGGTCTCCAAGGCTGTCAATCTTCATGGAAGCAAACCACACCCACTGCCATGGAGTCCATTCTGACCCACAGCGCCCCTAGAAGACAGAGTGGAACTGCACCAAAGGGTCTTCAAGGCTATCAGTCTTTATGGAAGTAGACTGCCTCATCTGTCTTCCTTGGGGTGGATGGTGGGTTTTTTAACCACTGACTTTTGGTTAGCGGCCCAGTGCTTTAACCACTGCACCATAAGAGCTCAAGAAAGAAACTGACTTAAATAACTGGAAGGAAATTCATAGATCATAACTGACATTGTTAAGATGGCAGTGCACCCAGAATGACCTACAAATCCAACACGATCTATCTCAAAATCTCAGCTGGCTTTCCCCACCCAGAAATTGACCATCCTGGAAAAGAACAAAGTTGGAGAACTCAGACTTCCCAAGTGCAAAGCAAGCTACAAAATACTGCAAAGCTACAAAAATCAAGACAGTGTAGTCCTGGCCTCTGGATAGACTGTAGATCAACAGAGTAGAAGGAGGGATCCAGAAATAAACCCTTACAAATCTACAATCTGATTTCCAACGAAAGCATCAAGACAATTAATGCAGAAAGGATAAGAGCAGAAACCATAAAACTGAAAATAGATAATCAATAAAGAAAATTAATAAAGCAAAAGCTGGTTCTTTGAAAAAGATGGTAAAACTCTAACAAGACTGATGAGAATTAAAAAAATAAAAAAGTCATAAATTATTTTCTTTTGAGTTTTTTATTATCTATTCATAACCACCAAAACCAACCAAGCATCTTTTGCAGGAGAGTGCGTGTAGACACCGTGGTGCGCCCCACAATGGGCCCCTCGCGGATTCTGCAGTGTACCATACGCTGGAACCCTGCCAGTAAGCAGACTGAATGCTGATGCTCGCAACATGGGCAAGTCCCCAGTGCGTTCTGCTCAACGAAAAGAGGCCAGACCCACAGGGCCACCGACAGCCTGATTTCACATAAAACCACCAGAAAAGGCAAACCCAAGGGGTGAAAATCAGTGGTTACCAGGGGCTGAGCTGGGGTGGAGATGGGCTACAGGAGGGCACAAGGAACGTTGGGGGCAGAAGAGGCACTGCAGATCTTGATGGTATTGCTGGGCACCCCAATGTATGTTGGTCAAAATCCACAAACCTGGCTGAGGAAATGGGGAAAGAACCCCACCAACACACAAACAGGTAGCAGGCAGGTAGCATTACAAAGGATTTATGCACACAAAGCATGCTGAAGACGAGTGTCACCAGGAGCAGAGTCCACAGACATGATGACAACATGGCTCAGAAAGCCCGAAGAAAGAAAGGGACAAAGGTGTGAAAGCAAAGATCACAAAAAGGAAGTGCAGAGCAGTGAGTTACTCCGCGTGGACCTTCTAGCCAGTCTGTGAGTCCTATACAACAGCTTTACAAACAAAGTGGTAGGATTTTGCAAACAAGGTGCCCGTGGCCCACCAAGTGGACTGAATGGATCACTAATTATGTAAATAAAGGATGTGGCACCCTTGTGGGGGTGGGGCCATGCAAATAAGGTATATGGAACTCTAACAAGGGGACTGGTCGGTTTTGTCATTCCATTAGGCTTAAAATAAGCCATTCCAGAGGTGAAGCGGGGATCTCACAACCACTCGAAAGAGACAGGAAGTGGAGCATGTGCTTTGGACCCTGAGTCCCAGCACTGGGAACCTCCTAGACCCAGGAGACAGAGACAACTGAGATCTGATATAACACAATCACTTCCATGATGAGATCTGCTGTGAGCAGCCAATCAGTTGAAAGGGAGCTACCTTCAGAGTGTGGCCTCCTTCCAATATATACGGAAAAGCTCTGGGAAAGTCTTCTGGCTTCTTGCTTGAGATCCTATATCTGACCCATCAGCACCTGGACTTGAACCAGTGACCTGACATGCGGCCTGCTGCTCTTGGGATTGTTGCCTCATTCACACCAGGAATGATGAGAGTTGGTGAGAAGCGGCAACAGAGCAGTGGTGGCAGCAGAGGCCCCAGGACAGGAGACAGTAGTGTGGACTTCCTGGCCCACAGAGCAAGAAAGCTGAGTGCCTTAGGCAGGAGGCTTGCTAGGAGAGGTGGGTGCCTCCAGGCACTTACTGGCGAAACTAAAGAGCCTTATAACATTGAATTGAACAGCGCAGAGGCCAATGGGTCCGAGGCCAAGGGCCAGAGAGAGGCACAGCTGACAAGCTGCTTTAACTGAAGAGCTGCATCCTGAGTCGTTTCTGATCCTGAATTGTAACGTGTTCCCTCCCTAATAAACCCCACGATTGGGAATATTGTCTGTGAGTTCTGTGTCAAACCCAGCAGAGAAGTAGGGAGTGCCATGGGAGGGATGGTTGGTGTCAGAACTGGTCAAAAGGCTGGAGGGTGGAGGCATGTCTGATCACTGACTCATAGGAAGCAGCCTGGGGCTGACACTAACAGTGATTCTCTCTCCCTCATGAGTTGGAAGAGGTGAGACACACCCACACCACTTCTACAATTACAATAGTGGAGGCCACTTATACCGACCTTGGAAATCAACAGAGGGTACAAGAAAGAAAGAAAACATGGCTTAGAATTTTTGCACAAAGCAGTCCACAATCTTCTATTAACAAATTTTGCAAACTGTGTTTTTCATATGAGTGGAACATTAACAATAATTAACCATATTACATTTCATAATGTTTCAAGAGGTAGATGTCATACATAATGTTTCAAGAGGTAGATGTCATACAATCATATTCTATGTAACTTTAAAAATCTGTGAATCTGTAAAAGTATTCTTCTAACTTGTATCTTACACCAAAACTAAAGTCAACTGAAGATGGACTGCAGAGCTAGACATGAGTAGATTCCGACTCAGAGCAACCCCCATTGGGTTTCCAAGGCCATCGATATTTACAGTAGATTACCCTATCACCCACCAGCCACTCCTCGGAAGGAAGGTTGGGCAATCCTACTTCCGTAGTGATACTGCCTCGGAAACCCAAGGAGGGGTCGCTATGAGTCGGGGCCGACTCGACGGCACATAACAACAACAACAACAACAACCCTATCTTCCTTCCACAGAGCAGCAAGTGGGTTTGAACCGCCAACCTTCTTGTTAGCAATCAAATGCCTTAGGCAATGCACCACCACATCTCCTTAGATGTGAGAGGTAAACCAATTAATAGTTCACAAGAAAACCCAGGTAAACTTCTTCATGTGCTTGGAGTAGGCAAAGATTTCTTAAACAGGACACAAAACAAGCCAAACAAAAGAAAATTTTGATAAGAACTGTTCAAAAAAATGATACCATTTAAAGAGTTAAAAGGTGGCCCACAAAACAGGAAAAGAAGTTTACAATGCATAAACCCAACAAAGAACCTGTATCCAGTATACATAAAGCCTGTAAAACTAATATAAGGAAATAGACGATCCGATAGAAAAACAGGCAAGAGACTTGAATAGTCACTTCATGAAGATGGTGTCAAGGTGGTCAGTAAACAGGAAAACGTTTGACATTGACGCCGTAAAGACACAGATGTATCAGGGAAAAGCAGTCCACATCTGTAACATATCTACCCAACCAAGAGCTTGCATTCTGGATACTTAGAGAACTCAAATGCAGAATATCAGGGTCCTACAAATCAATAATGAAAAATAAGACAACCAGTGGGAAAAAATGGAGGCAGAAGATTTGAACAGGCTCATACAAGAATTGTGCAAATGTAATTGGCATAACATATTACATAAAACATTGTTCCACCTCCTACTTTGGCGAGTAGCAAATGGGATCTTAAAAGCTTGTAAGCAGCCATCTAGATGCAACGATGGGTCTCTCCTCGTCCAGAGAAAAGAAGAATGAAGAAAACTAAAAGTTCATGGAAATAATTAGTCTTAGTGAATGGTAAACCATGCCATCTATAGCCTATATGACTATGAGACCAGAAGAACTAGATGGTGCCCAGCTACCACTATCAACCACTCGGAGGGGGACCTATATAGATCCTGGACAGAGAGGGAGAACAATGTGGAACAAAACTCAAAATCATTTGGGGGAAAAAGGGTGGGGACCAGGTTTGCTGGTCTGATAGAGCCTGGTGGAACCACTGAGACTATGGCCCCTAGCTGCCCTTCAGGTCTGGAATTCAACCCACGCCTGTGGCTTCAGACAAATAAAAGACAGGCATATGAGTTGAACATTTACCTGAGGTGGATACACTCCTTGGAGAGAACAATCATGGGAGAAAGAAGGGCCGTTTCTGCACAGGGAGACAGCTCAGGGGGCAGGAGTGCATGGAGGGAAGGACACAGGGAAGAGGGAACTATTGGGAAGTAGGAGTGGAGCTGTTGCATTGTGGTGAATTGTAGTCAATGTCCTGAAGACAAAGTGTATGTGAACTGCTATAGAGAAAGTGAATTTGCTCTGTAAATTTTCATCCAAATCACAATTAAAAAAAAAAAAAAAAAAAAAAAGAGTTGTCCAAATGGCCCATAAACATGGCAGCTAGTGCTGACATCATGACTCAGCAGAATGGAATTCAACTACCATGAGACACCACTACAGACCCACCAGAAGGGGAGGGAGAAGACATGAAACACCACTACAGATCCACCAGAAGTGGGGGGATGCACATGGAGACAGAAAGGAGGGGCGGGTGAAGGGAGATGAGAGGGAGATGAGAGGAAGATGAAGGTGGAGGAAAGGAAGGTGAACATCAGAGCAAGAGCCCCCGCCCGGCCCTCTCCAGCAGCCCAAAACACACACAGCCACGAGCTGCGATGGCAAGGCGGTCACCCTGGGCATGTCAGAAAGGCACCAGGAGTGCCTGCTCACTCCTCTGTTTGTCTGGGGGGGGGGGGCTTCCCCTCCTGGTGGGGGGAGGCAGCCATAGTTTGTTTTTGAGGGTGAGATCCAAGGGCCTCCCAAAAGCCTCAGAGAAGCCTTAAAGGGGCTGTAGGGTCCAAATCCGAGACCTGTGGTCTGAATTTACAAGTCAGGACGTCCCTCCCAGGAGTGCTAGAGAGCACGGCGTGGGCGCCCAAGTCCCTGGAGCAGATGCAGGGTCAGCTAGATAGGAGTTTGAGCATCTGAGGGCCCCGTGTCCAGACTCAGGTCTGGGCCAGCACGATGTGCGAGTGTCTCCATACTTAGACACCACCATGGTGCTGCCCTCCAAAAGCCAGTACCTCCTTGCTCTCCTCCTTATCTACGGCGGTCCACACAAAGCCAAAGGCTCCGCTGCCAAGTGGGCTCAGCGTACTGTACTTGTGGGAGTATGCGCCTTCACAGGCTGCCAACCCCTCCAGCTCAGCTGCCTTAGGGGCCTCCTCAGACCAAGGCTTGGCTCTCAGCATCTGTGAAGGTGAGAACAACTTGAGGCCCAGCGGTGCATGCAGGCCCATCCTGGCCTTCTTTTGGCAGCAGCTGCCTGATCCATCACAGCACCCCATTCGTCACACCCTGTGCCCCCATGACGCCATGTGACAACATCCCGTGCCTCAATTCTCCTGCACCCTCTACCTCTCATGCCCCCCACAGGCATATACAGACACAGACTCTTACATGTGGCTTTGTGCACACACCACACACTGGCAGATAGTGTGGAAGACAGGAGGCGACCCTGTTCCCTTCCCAGAGGAAACAGAAAAGTGTGTTTTCACTGACATGTGTCCCCGCTGCCCCATGAGGATGTGGCGGCCCACACCCACCTCGCCCAAGCTGGGCCCTGGCAGCTCAGCCATGGAGTGGGTGGAGCCAGGCAGGCTGGCCAGCAGCAGGCGGGTACGGGCAGCCGCGTCCCGGTGGCTGTGCAGCAGGTCCTTCACCAGCCAGCAACAGAAGAGTGTGGCCGTGCCACGGAGCTCCACACGCCGCACCTCAAACTGCACGCCTGAGGGCGGGATGGTGAGAGGGCAGACCACCGCTGACGTGGGTGCAGAGGTCAGAAAAGCATCCCCCCAGGGCAGCAGAGAGTAGGGTACAGAGGCCAGGGAGGGGCTGTCAGGGGGCAGGAACTAGAGGAACAGCTTCCACGGCCAGTCCACCCAGATGCCTGGTGCAGAGGCCAGCAGCCCCATGCCATGACAGCACCACAGCCTAGGGCCAGATGACAGAGAGCAGGGGTCCAGCCGTGCCCCCCCTCTGGCCTCTCATCCACTCAGGGGACCACTTGAGGGTGACAGTGGCCACTGGAGACCATCCCCAACATGGAAAAGTTCAGAAAGCCCACACTTACACCAGCATCGAGCAGAGTGAGACTCTGCCTACAGGTGACACCACTGTGATGGGCTCAGGCAAAGCCACATGCACACACTCGAGTGTCCCGGTCACACGTGCCATGCTGGATCTAAAGGTACATGCACTTGTGCATGTACCACGTGCTGGCCTTTTCGTACACACATGCACACTCCTCAGCAAGCAGGCTTGGCTGATGTTTTGGGGGGAGGGACTACAGGTGATCTGGTTTCCTCCTTGCTGATATGAACCAGCATCTCCATGAATGACACGAGGTGCTCATGCATTTGGAAGTCTAGAATTATAGCCCTCCTAAAGCCCACCACCCAGTCAGCGTGATGGAACCAGCACGCTGGGAGAACGTGGACGGGTGTACAGAAACCGGGCAGACAGAGGGGAAAGTAAACAGGAGACGCATCACAGAGCAGGGGAGGGGCTGGTCACCTACATTGCCCGGCATCTTCCACACAGTGGGGTGGCTACACACCTGGGGTGCAGCTGGAGGGTGCCACAGCCCTCGGCTCCCGCTGCCTCACAGTGCAGCCCCAGGAGGGCTGTGGCATTGCTGTGGCCAACCTGAGCCTGCAAGGATTGCGAGGGCACAACTGCCACCAACCACCACCACCTGACACTCGTGTGAGCTAGGGACAGCTAGAGGTTCCTCCATCTGTGCCCCCGGCAGCTATGCAGAGGAGCTACTCCACAGAGGGTGGGCCATCTGGAGGCACCAGGGTCTCAGCCACCCCTCTAGTACACACTACAGGGGTGCCACCTGCTCCGGCCTCATGCTCGTGACTGTAACTATCAAGAGAAAGTTAGGTCACACTTTCCCCTAACCCGTAAGGAGAGTGGGCCTGCCCAGCCCCGTCGGGGACATACTTAGCCGTGAGCCATCGCGGTGGTAGCAGCTGCCCACGTAGGTGCCCTCCTGGATCTGGTGAGGGGGGCCAGTCCCTGGTGGCAGGGTGCTTGCCCTTCTCACCGGTGTGGAGGTTGCCTGGAGGCCCAGCTCTGATGGCTCTACGTGTGGGAGCACATCTCCAAGGCTGGCTTCAGGGGACAGGGAGGACAGTGGGCGGGCCTTGGACAGTGCCACCCGGCCGTGGACCAGGCAGCCCTCCTTGGAAATGCTGAAGTCAGAGGAGGTGCTGCTGGGCAGCAGGCCCTCCTGGTCCAGCCCCAGGGCATCTGACTGCTGCCCTGGAAGGCTGCCCTCATCCAGGTCTGAGCCCACACCCAGAGAAGAGGGCTTCCGGCTGAGATCCAAGGTCGTGTGGGAGCCATTTGACGATGCCCAGGCTGCTCGGTCACTGAGGAAGAGCTCTTTGAAGTCCCAGGAGAACTTGGCCTTGTTGGCATCATGCTCATCTGTGTGCTCCAGGGCACCAGGGAGGTCTGTGGCCAGGGCACAGCAGGCTGAGGAGCTGCCCAAGTGGCTGCCCTGCAGGTCTCTACCCCCAAGGTCGCAGAGTGACAGAGGGGTGGCAAAGGCAGGGTGCTTTGTGGGGAGAGGTTCGGCAGAGGGGGTGTCCCTGTCTCCCACAAAGCTCGGCATAGACAGCTGCTCCTTGATCAGGCACGTTTGTAGTTCTTCCCTGTCACTGACACCACCCAACCACAGCTCGTCCGGTGTTGGCACCCCCAGCCAGACGTGTGTCGTTCCTGGGGGGCTCAGGCCCTCCTGCTGGACAAGCAGCTCAGTCCCACACCGGGGGCAGTGAGACGGGGAGCCAGCTGCTGCTGACCGGCTCCCAGGGTGGGGCTCAGGCCCGGCAGACTCGGCCTGAGGACTGACACCTGTGGCCCCCCTTGGATCTAGACCACACTCTGGAACATTCCTCCTCCATTCCTCTGCTGCGTTCGGGGTTCCGGGGTCTTCACGCACAGCATGCACGCCTTCACCTCCAGGCTCAGACCCACCGTCCTGAGGGTCCTGCTGGGCGCCCTCCTCCCATGGTCCCTGCTGGGTCTGCTGGTCCCGGGACAGCAGGAGTCCTCCTGTGGTGTCTGCTCTGTGGATGGTAATGTGGTTCACACCATGATGTAGGGGCTCAGAGACCACATGGGTTAGCTCTGTGATGGACAAACTCAGAGCAGCTAGCAATACGAGCCATGGACAGAAGACAAGGGTGCATGTCGCACATCAGTCCCCCCACAAGACCAGTGCCCCATGGGCCAGCCACACCAACCCTGCATGACCAGTCTCCCACAGGCTCTCCACACCAACCCCAAAGAACCAATCCCCCACAGGCCCACTACACCAACCCCGCAGGACCAACCCCACAGGCAAGCCTTGTTCAGAGTGTTACGCAAAGCCCAACAGTAAAGCACAGGGGTTGGGTTTTTTAGTAACAATGAAGATCTCCCAGACATAGAGAGCAGACACAGAAATCAGCACGTTTCCAACAATAGAAACATAGAAAGTGTGATGTCATTCATGCTAAGGGAACAAGAGGCACCCCGCCCATACACACACAGTGTACACATGCATGCAGGCATGCACACACACTTAGGCATGTATGTACACACAAGCACGTACATACATAGGCATGTAAAAACGTGTACACAGATGCAGGCAGCACAAAGGTATGCACACATGTATGGTATGCATACAGGCATGCATGATAGACATAGGTACACACACATACACAGGCATGTATAATACATCTACACAGAGATATGCACAGTGCATGCATACACACATATGTACGTACGCACATATGCATGCAAACATGTGTGGCACACGTGTACATACATATATGGGCGCAGTGTGTACGTGATACACGTACACACGGCATGCACATGGGCATGTACGATACACACACATGCTCACGCACATGCAGACATGTGTGCGCACACTTGTATTGATGTGCACACACAGGCATGTACACGGGCACGTATGGTACACACACGGGCTCACGCGGGCATGTGCATGCACACGGTCTTGCACAATACACACATGCGCTCACACGCATGCAGGCATGTGTGTGCACACTTGTATAGATGTGCACACATGAAAAGCTGAGACTACACTGCTGCCTGTGGCCTCTGGGGCGGATGAGCCAACTGGAGGGGAGGGGTGCTGGGCTCTCACTTTTAACCATTGTTCTGCATTTGGGGAAAGTATAAACCCATGTTTCTGCACCAGACAATCTGAAAAGGAATTTTGTAAGAATTGGAGACCCAGGCAGTGTGGGCACACCTCACAGACGTGCCGAGAGAAGATCCTGGCAGAGGGGTGTCTATGGGAAGGTCAAAAGCAGGCAGCCTCCATGCCAAGTGTTTCCCTCAGAGATGACCCTCACCCAGCCACCGCCCGCCTGTACAGAGCCCCTTACCCCGGGCTTGGCTGGGAGGAGCTTGGGGCAGGGGGTAGGCCCCCAGGCTCCCTCGGGGCCTGTGTCTCCAGGAAGGCTTCTCCCTGGCTCCCAGCCGATGACAGGGTCTTGTCCTTCCGCACAGCACCAGTGGTGGTGAGCATGATGTTCTCATTGGGGCCTGGCAGCAAACAGGAGTCCCCAAGGAATCCACCAAGTCCCTGGGCCCTACCCCCACAGAGGTGCCGCCCAGCCCCTGCACTCCCTGCTCTCTCCTGCCTATGGCCTCCTGCCTGCCTGGGTGTGCTGGCCTCTGTGCATGCCACCCTTGACCTGGAGCACTGGGCCTGACTGGCTGCCCGTTTCCTGCAGGTGTCCACTCAGACCTGCCCCCGATACTTCCCCAGTCCAGTGACCTGAGGCCACGCCAGGGTCACGGCACACTGGGGAGAGGGCACCCCAAGTCTTACCCTGGGTCCCACTGGACAAGTCCCAGCCTCTCCAGGGCCCTGCTGACACTCCCCTAGGGCTGCCCTCACGGTCAACGTCCAGACGCTGGACCAGGTCTGGCACGGGCAGGGAGCTGTCATAGGCAAGGTCCATGTAGCTGTAGAAGCCAGGGATCAGGAAGGTGATATTCTGGGAGAGAGGGAGCCACATCAGGGCCCAGGAGTGACCCTCCAGATGGCCCATCCCTCAGGCCCTCTGACAGCCCAAAGCCCTGTGGACAATGGACGTGTAACGTGGTATTTTTGCTTTTTCTTACAAGGACAGTGTTAACCAAGGGGGAAGCCAGTGGTGCCGATGTACACGGGCCTCCTGGGCAGGGCCCCCCATACACACACACACAACGGGACTGCTTCTCCTACTGGTTCTACCCACCAACAGAGGCACTGAGACACCAGGCACTGCAGCCCACAGCAGGCTCCCAGCCAACACCAGGCGCTGTAGCCCTCAGCAAGATCCCAGCTTACACCGGGCACCACAGCCTGCAGCAGGCCCTCGACTAAGACACAGGGCACCACAGCCCGCAGCAGGCCCTGGACTAAGACACGGGGCACCACAGCCCACCTCAGGCCCTCAGCTAAGACACCGGGCACTGCAACCCCCACAGCAGGCTCCCAGCCGACACCAGGCACCATAGCCTGCAGCAGGCCCTGGGCTGAAACACGGGGCACTGCAGCCCACAGCAGGCTCCCAGCTGACACAGGGTACCATGGTCCGCAGCAGGCCATCGGCTGAGACACAGGGCACCACAGCCCACAGTAAGCCCTCGGCTAAGACACCAGGCACTGCAGCCCGCAACAGGCTCCCAGCAGACACTGGGTGCTGCAGCCCTCAGCAAGATTCCAGCTGACACCGGGCACCACAGCTCGCAGCAGGCCCTCAGATGAGACACAGGGCACCACAGCCCACAGCAAACCCTCAGCTAAGACACCGGGCACTGCAACCCACAGCAGGCTCCCAGCAGACACCAGGCACTGCAGCCCTCAGCAGGATCCCAGCAGACACCGGGCACTGCAGCCCACAGCCTGCAGTAGGCCCTGGGCTGAGACACGGGGCACTGCAGCCCCCAGCAGTCTCCCAGCTGAGACACCGGGCACCACAGCCTGCAGCAGGCCCTCGACCCTCCCAGCAAAGAGTATCACGTCTCACTGGGCATGGGCTCTGAGGCCCAGGGTCCCCATTTTCTGGGGCGACACGACACCAGGATCAGCAACCAAGGGGACCAGGGTGACTGGTCAGGAAGGGAGGGGATGGGTCTGCTCCCAGTCCAGGCGGCAGTGCGAGCTGGCCCCAGGTGGCTCGGCTCTGAGGTGAGGGACAGACAGGTTTTCTGCCAGATGGGAGGCATGGGGCCCAGGGTCCACCTTGCCCAGGAGCGCAGCCTTCCCGTAGCCAAACAGCGTGAGCGCGAAGCTGTGGTTGATGCCGTAGATGGTCCCGTCTGGCAGGAGTGTGATGAGGCCACTGACAGCACACAACACCCAGACTGAGGCCACGTAGCTGGGCTCAGGCACAGTCGGCCCACCTTCTACCTCCTCGGGAGCAGGCCTGGGCTGGAGTCTTAGGCTCAGGGGGAAGGTGGCGCCATCCCTCGCCCTCCCCACTGACCTCTGAATCCTGAGATCCTGCAAGAGAAGCACCAAGTCCACATGTCTGTCTAGACTCCACTTCCGGACCCATCGTGGTGAAGACGTGCCAAGGACATCCAACCCCCAGACTTCTCTCCTCCCATTTCCCTGTGCCCCACCTCGGCCTGGAGCACTGCCATAGGGATGGGAGGTGGACTCAGGGTCCGGATAGCACCCAGATGCCAGCACGACCAGGGCTACAGAGAGCGCAAACAGGAACTGCAGCCCAGCCCTAACCAGCAGGTGCTTAACACCGTGCACACCCACCTTCGGGATGTGCTCGCCAGGGGGAGGGATCTGCACAGAGGGAATCAGGTCCGTGATGCACTGCCCGACCACCTCTTCTGCAGACATGTAGCCATGGAGATGTGCAAAGAGGTTGTCACACGACGTAATGGTCCCCTTCATGAATGAGATGGTTAAGGGTCAGAGGGAAGTCTCCACTAACCTCGTACACCTTCACCGGCAGCAAGATCGCTAACACCCCATGAGCTCCACAAGCCGTGAGAGAGCAGCAGGTGGCCAGGGCTGGGAAGCACTCTCAGGGGCGAGCGGAGGCAGATTCCCCCAGGACACACATCCCAGGGAACAGCGAGGGCCAACAACAGCACTGCAGAATCCAGCGGCCCTGTCCATGGGTGACGCTCAACTGTGGGCACCCGACTCCAGGGGAGACGCTGACACCCACCTGCCACAGCTACACAATGTCTACGTGGCCCCCACCTGACCCAGCTATGAAGCCCCGGCCATGGTGGTGGTCTGCTGAGGAGTGGAGCCTGGCTGAGGAGACGAGGGGAGGCCCAACGTTGCTTCTCTCATTCAGTATCAAACAATAAGGGAAAAATGAAGTGTGAACGTACCAGTCCTTAACTTAGGCATGCGTTGAAGAGGCATGGCCATTTCTAACACATGCTACAAGAAACACGGTGCCGAGAGACAGACACAGAAGGACAAGTGCCGTCTGATCTGCTGACAGAGATAATAGGACCACGGCTGAGACAGAGGGGAACAGGCAGGACAGGGCTACTGCTGAGGTACATTTTCTGTGGGCACGAGAAGTTTTGGGACACAGAGCAGCGACAGCTACACAACACTGAGTGTGATGAGTGCCACCGGTTGCCCCTTTCAAAGTCTGGGCTTGAATGGCCAATTTTACACTGGGTGTAGGCTATCATGATCTTAAACAAAGACCTAGATAAAGTGGCGATCGGCGGTTAGGGAACAGTGGACACATGACAGGCAGGGGAGGAAACTGAGGCCCTGAGGCAGTTCTATTCCCTGCCCGAGCACACGGTCAGCAAGACCCGCCTCACTCCCAAAGACAGGGTGCAGGGCAGCTTCCTGAAAGGCCAGGGAGCAGTCACTGGCCACTGAGCACACTCACATTGCACTGGAATGAGACACAGGCCGAGACCCTCTCCACAGGTTCCAGCAGTACTACGCAGCAGCGGCCACGCTCGTGCCGTATCCTCTTCATCCACACGGACACCGGGATCTTCTCCCCACTGCGGCTGACAATGTCCACCTGTGGGCACAGACAGGCTGGTACCCAGGGGCACCAAAGGCCCATGGGACATAGGTTCACAGGGAACAGGGGACCTGCATGGTGTGGCTCCTTGGAAGAAGTCTTCCCCAGGCTCAGGCCCTCACAGACCTGCCTCTCAGCCCCCCACCTTAGCTGCTTCTCAGCGCCCCTGCCTCACCACTCTGAAACTGCCCAGTTAACACAGCAGGCTCCTCAGACTCAGGTCACGAGCCCAGAGCAAACGCTGTGCTGAAAGACCGCGTTGCTATCGCAGTCTCAGCTCCACAGTAACGTGCCAGGAGAAAAGCAACTTGGTATTCCAGGGAACAGACCAACATGTGCCATCTTCATTTCGCCTTGGTCTCCTGAACCTCAATCTCTCTGATGGACAATCAGTCCTACTCAGCTGTAGGGAGTCCCAGGCAGGGCTGACAGGGAACATGTGTGGCTACTAACAGAAAGTTTGGCTCTAACACGTTCTTGAGGGAAAAAAACCAGCACCACTACTTCCACAGTGCTTCCGTTTTCATCAGCCTCCACCTGCTGCCTCAGCATTCCCACGACAGCCACCAGGAACCAGCGCAGGGTCAAGTGAAAAAGCCAGGGCCCAGGACAGACGGGCCAGGTCGGGTCCCCACTCTCAGCAGAGCGGCCAGAGGCTAGCCCTCCCAGTGCGAATGTGTTACTCCTGCCTTGAGGCCCTCATACCCGCAGCTACTCACCACTGTCCCAAACACCACAGCGGCGCAACCATCAGCCTCCATGTGCTCCTCACTGAGGGCTTCCACCACATCCGAGTCCGACTTCAGGAAGAACTGCGTGAGCTTCTGGCCAATCAGGTCATGGCTGCTGTAGCCCAGAAGCTCACAGGCCTTGTCATTGGCAACCAGGATCTAAGAGGCCCCAGGGGAAAAAGGCAGGGCCATCACAGCAGCTCCTGCAACCCCGGGGCCAGAGCAGCTGAAGGAGACTCTAATTCTACCTCAGTGGACCAATGTGGCCAAGTCTTGCTTCCACGGAGTGGCTGGTGGGGTTGAACCACCAACCTTCTGGTTAGCAGTCACATGCCTTAGGCACTGTGCTACCAGAACTCCTTTTTCCAGAGAGGTAAAGGGGCCTCTTAAGTCTACCTCAGTCGGCCGATGCGACAGCGTGGCGCTCAGCACCTCAAGGTTCCTGGAGCAAACGGACATCAGGGTGCCCATCCGAGGCCAGGGCTCCCAGTGGTGCTACAGTGCAAACTATGGCTCTTCCAGGCAAAGTGAACACCATCAAGCACGGGCACCAGCGAGGCCAGGGGGCGCCACACCAGTCTCTCCCATTCCACCACCACGGGTGTTTGTACCAGGAGGCATTTAACTCCAACCCTGACCGTCTGTGGAGCCAAGGCTGTGTTGTCAACTTGGCTGGGCCTGGTTCTGAGTGGCTGGGCAGCTGGCTGTGGTTCCCCCCATGAGACTGGTCATCAATTCCATCCGTCCATGCTTCCATCTCCAACCCCCCATCTCTGTGACCATCCAGGCAAAACCAGACAACTTCCAACTGTGCTAAAGCACAGGACACCTGTGAGGTCCCCACTGGGCCACCAACCATGCACATACCTCAGTGGTCCTGGTGTCCACAGTGAAGACGGCCTTGTTGGGATTGCCCACAGGGGCTGGGAGCAGAGATGCAGACAGGCCCGAGGGCAGGCCCCGTAGCAGGGAGCAGCAGGAGGAGCTGCCCAGGGAGCCGGCCGGGTCGGAGAGCTCAAGCAGGCCAGAGCAGTGCAGCTTGCTGGCACAGATGTTCTGGGCTGCCAACGATGACAGGCAGTAGGAGCTCCACCTGTCCTCTGGGGACAGGGCACAGGCAGTGTCAGCTTCGCAGCACCCAGAGCCCTGAGCCCTGACACCCACAGACGGACCAGAGGATGAAACGCATAAGCAGAGCTGACTGCTTCCCAGCTCCCCACCTACAGACAGATGGAACCCACCAGACACCCAGACAGCCACGGCCTCCCACACACATGGACGCCTTGCCCTCCTGCCCCTCCACCTGCTGCCCCAACTTGTTCCTTGGAAGCGCCCACAATTCTAGAGCCACATGCTGTTCCACTGCCCGTCCTCACACCCTCTCCTTCATTCCCCATTGACTGACCCACTGTCCCCCTGCAATTCACTCCTTACCCAGCATACCACCAGCTCCCTCACTGCCCCTGCCCCCAGCTCTCTCACTGCCCCTCACTCCCCTCCCGGCTCTCACTGTCCCCCCAGCTCCCTCATTGCCCCTGCCCCCAGCTTCCTCATTGTCCCTCACTCCCCCCCATTTCTCTCACTGTCCCCCCCAGCTCTCCCACTCCCCCTCCCACCCCCCAGGTCCTTCACTGCCCCTCTCCCCCAGCCCCAGCACACACTCTGCTGTCCTCTCAAGCCCTCACAACTGTCAGGACACTTGGGGGGCAGTAGGCACCCAGAACATCTGTGCCAACCGTCAGGACACTTGAGCAGCAAAGGACTCCCCATCAGAACAGGCAGAGTGACACAGTCCCCGACATGGTCAGGGCCCAAGGGGTCTGGGGCTCAGGTGGTACTAAGCGACTCTAGGAGAGATCAGTGTATGAGTGGACGACAGGCAGTGCCACAGTTCTCGGAGCCAGGGAAATCAGCCACAGCTCCCGGAGGCTGCCATGTTCATGGCCACCCCCATTTCAGTCACGAAGGTCAGACATGACACAACACAGTCCAGACGGGGAGCACAGGTGCTCTGAAGTGGGAAACTGTCACACTTAACTTGACCTCAAACTTTGGAGGGACTTCCAGCCCTCCCCAGCACCCTGGCAAGCAGAGAGAGCTACCCACCCACCCGGCCCAGTGTCCCGGCAAGCAGAGAGAGCCACCACAGGGCAGGGCCCTCAGTGTCACCCACCCACCCGGCCCAGTGTCCTGGCGAGAGCAGAGAACCACCTCAGGGCAGGGCCCTCGGTGTCACCCACCCACCCGGCCCAGTGTCCTGGCGAGAGGAGAGAGCCACCTCAGGGCAAAGACCTCGGTGCCACCTGCAGTGCATGCCGAGTCCAGAAAAGACACCCTGCCCTGTGGGGCGGGGTTCTCCATCTCTGCCTCACTAAGGAGGGGAGGACACAGCCAAGCACTCCTGTCAGAGCCATTACCAGAGAGTGCCACCTTGCTCTGGCAGAGCTTGGAGAGCCCATGCTTCCTGCTCAGATGTCTGCGGGCCGAGGACAAGGTCTTGCTGGGTGTGGGCGTGCCTTGGCCAGCCGGGCTCTCCACTGGTGCCGACAAAGTGGGGCTCCCCGACGGGTACCTCCGCTTGTCCTCAAAGGCTGCTGGGCCTCTGTCCTCCATCATGGCGCTTGGGGGTCACCGGACCCACCTCTACAAAGTGTCAGCTAGAAAACAGAAGGGGCCCATCAGCATTGGCAACATGAAGATACAGTCAGCTCAAGGTCCAATGATGCACAATGTCCAGCTGGGCTCGACCCCAGGACTCATGCTCCACTGCCATCCCAGCTGGGACTGTGACACCAAAGTCACATGAGATGTTCTTTCATAGAATCACACAAGAAGGCAGGAAAGAGAGACAGAACCAAGTGAAACTAAACTAAATTAGCAAAAACTAGGAAGTCTAATAACACAAAGTAACGGGGATGCAGGACAACAGGCTCTCAGATAACTGATGTCATCTCTTCAGAAAACCTTCTAAGCGAAAGGGCTGCCTCCTTGCACCCAGCATGTCCACTTGTGGGTCCCTATGGCACACATCTAGCAGGACACAGGAGCAAGACTGTTCACAGTGGCATGGTTGGCATGGGCCAAAAAAAGAATACTTACCAACAAGAACAAAGATGTGAGATTCTGGGATGCTCACATGATGGACCACAGCAGTGCCAACAAATGTGCCATAGTGTGAACGGAAACACTACCCAGAGACTGCCAAGGGCAGGACTTCCTTTCTGCAAAATCCAAAACCATGTCTCAACCTACTATTGGGAGGAGCCAGAGTGCTCCTTGTGAACGAGAATGGCCAGACTTTGTCTCACCTACTTTGGTCACGTTGTCAGAAGGCACGGCCGACTGCGGTAGGCACTGGTCAAGTGGAGGGTCAGTGAAAGTGGGGAAGGCCCTCAACGAGATGGATTGACACGGAGGCTACAACAGTGGGCTCAGGTATTATAGGGATTGTGGGGCTGGCACAGGACTGGGCAGTGTTTCATTCTGCTGTACTTAGGGTCGCTAGGAGTCGGAGATGACTCGACAGTACACCACAACAACGACAACAACTTATGTGATGAGACACTGCTTAAACGAAAGACTGACACTCGTGAATGCTGAGCAGGAAGTTGCCTGGGAGGCTAGTCAGGGGGGCTGGGGGGGAGGCGCTGCCTAAACGCACAGACCATTCCCACAATAAGTAACATGACTGTCCTGTGAATGTTTGGTCTACTTTCAGCACCAACCCACAGTGAAAACAATGGAGCTCTGGTGGTTAAAGCCTTCCGCTGGCGGTCTGAACCCACCAGCTGCTCCCACGGGAGAGAGATGTGGCAGGTGGCTTGTAAGGATGTGCAACCTAGGAAACCCTATGGGGCAAATCCGCTCAGTCGTCTAGGGCCGGTGAGTCGAAAGGGGCTCCACGGCAGCAGGCTATGGGGCAGTTCCACTCTGACCTCTAGGATCAAGAGTCAGAATCCACTTGATGGCCGGGGATTCGGGTGGTGCAAAGGATGAAGGGCTCCACTATCCACCCAGTGGTTCCTCATTAGGCCTGGGGAGAGCTGCTGGCGAAAGGTCCCAGCCCGGAAAACCGGACGGAGCAGCTCCGCTCTGCAGATAGGGTCTCAGTGGGTCGGAACTGACTCCACGGGCAGCAGCCCCGACAACAACAACGCGTTGCGGGAGGACGTGCCTGAGGAGCTGAGGACAAGGAGAACGGCCCAGGTGGCCCGGGCAGGAGAGCGCAGGTGCTAAGCAACAGCAACGGCGGGAAGATGGAGAAAAGGCCCGGGGCAGCGAGGAGCGACAGGGGCTGAGCTTGCGCCGATCCGACGCGGGAGGTCGGGGCAGGGTGCCCAGACCGAGCCCAAGCACTCGGCTCAGCAGTTGCCGCTCGGGGGCCGGCGAGGGGAAGCCGGGGCGGGAGGGACGTGCGGCCGGCTCCCTCTCTGCCCCCCAGCGGCCGCCCTCGGGCCGGCGCCGTCGGGGCGCTCGTCTTCCGGCGGAGGGAGGGCAGGAACTGGTGCAAACGCACGCCGGGAAGGCGAGGAGGAAGGCGGAGCCTGAGGGACACCTCCGGCCGGGCCAAGGAGCGGCGACCGTGAGGGCGCTCCAAAGGCGAGCTCCTTAGGGCCGAGGCGGGGACGGGCGAGGGGCGCGGGGCCGACGCGGGGCCGCCATGCAAACGGCCACGGAGCTCGGGATCGGAGGTCGGGGGCCGGGAGCCGGCTCTTCCGAGAGCCGGGGTAGGGGGAGGCCGAGCGGCGGGCGCAGGACCCAGGTGGCCCGTCTAGCGCCTCGCGCCCTCAGCCGACCCTCGGGGTCCAGGGAGCCGGCCTGCTCTCCGAGTGCACACCTCTCACCTGGATGATGGCCGCCGCTCAGTTCGCTTCCCACCGCCGGACCGAGCCGACCCGCGTTTAGGCGCACCGGCTAATCCTGTTGTGCCTCGCGCCGATTGACAGCCTTCGGGGACCAATCAGAGGTGCATGTGGGCGGAACTCAGAAGACTCAAACGAGGAGCCCGCGCTAACGGTTGCTAGGGACGCAGTGGACGCCCTCTACGGCACTGCGGAGAGGCCAAAAGATGCGCAGCGCGTCCGTCAGCCCTTCTAGTGGACGCCGTTTCCTTAGGTCTTTTGGTGCCCGTGGCTGAGTGGCACGGAGTTCGCCCCTTGGCTGCCCTGGCCCAAAGATGGGGCACGAGGCAGCTCCTTCACGGGTCGGGGAGCGCAGCGGACCGTCTGTCAGGCCCGACTTCGCGACCTCAGAGCCTGCAGGCCTGAGAGGATACGGAAGCTGGGGAGGGGACGACAGCCCAGGGTCGGCCTGCCTTTCTGGCCGGCTCCCCCGCATCTGCCCACCTGCCCAGCGCCTTGCATTAACAAGAGGAGACACCTTCGCACGCGTTCCAAACGCCATGAGAAAGTTGTCCTCCTGGCACGCTCAGTCCATTCTACAGAAGCAGCCAACGACGCTCGGAGCCGCCGGGGGCCGGACTGCGCTGTGCAACCTCGAGAAGATGCGCTCGGCCCTCTCGCCCCAGACTGTGGTCCTTTTACGCCTCGGTGGTGCGGAAAGTGATATGAGAGGCCGGAGCGTGCCCCGGAATCTCCTCCACAAATTGTCCGGATGCCCTCTACGTTCGCCTGCAGCTGTGGCTCCCCTCCTTCTCTTCCCAACTCCTCGCCTCCTGGCTTCTCCGGCGCGGCCGGCTTCAGCTAACTGCCCGTGGGGAGGTGAGACTGGCGGCGCCGAGCCGAAGGAGGGTGCGGCGTCTCGCTGGAACTACAACTCCCATGAGGGGCCGGGGGCGGACTCGGCTACTCAGAGGAACTACAGTTCCCATGAGGCACCAGGGCTGCGCTGGCGCCTCGAGGCGCGAGCCGCAGCGCTGGGCTCCCATTGGCTAGATGGCATCTACGCAGGGAGCCCTGATTGGCTGAGGGCTCTGAGGCGACAGATTCCGGAAAGGGGTAGAGCAGCCAACATGGCGGCGGAACGCGGCTCGGGGCAGCAACAGTCGCAGGAGATGATGGAGGGTGAGTAGCCCAAGGAGGCAGGGGACAAGAGTGGGCTGGCATTGCCTTTTACCCAAGAGAAACTCGGTGTTTCGCCTCCCACCATGGCTTGGGCTCTGAGGCCGCCGCGGGGCCTTTGACAGCTGCCGGCGGGCTCCGGAGCCGGGAGGCTTCGGATCCAGAGAGCCCTGGCCCAGGGGCGGCAGCGCGGGGCAGGCCCGCGGGAAATCGGCGGCAAGAGCTCGAGACTCGTGGGGGCGACGGAAAGGACGGGATGTTTCACTGGTCAGAGCCTCGCGCCGAACCTCTGAGATTGACAGGCGGGGAGCGGTCCGTGTTTGTTAGTGGGGAAACTGAGGCTCGGGGCGCTGTGTGACCTACCCGAATCTGCCTCTTTGTTAGCGTGACAGGGATGGAGAAGGAGTCTCTCTCCCGAGCGAATGGATAGTGGGGAGGAGTGACAAGGAGCCTTCAGATGGAGTTTCAGAGGACAGCGTCAGTTCTCAAAGCTTTCGTAGTTCGGAAAAGACTAAACCCAGCTGCCTCCTTGCCCCTTCAGTTTGCAGGAAAACTGTGTTTTGACAAACTTGAAGAGTCAGCCCTCTGAGTGGGGTGGGTCGTTGGGCGGAGGCGCGATCACGAAGCACCAGTGCTAGGTTCCAGGGAAGCCGGCCTATGGGGTGGGGGAGGGGCGGCCCATCTGGGGGCGTTGAAGGCTGCGCAGCCCGGGTCAGCCCCCAGATGGGCCCTGGAGGTGAGGGAGGACATGGGGCAGGAAAGTCAGCGCAGCAAAGGGAGCCGCCCAGCCGGAGGCAAAGGGGTAGGAGAGGACTGGCCTGTTCCGGGCAGTGACCCAGGGTGACAGTCATGTGTGATGAAGGTGGGGATGGCAGCAGGAGGGCCAGGGTCTTAGACTTTGAGAAGTGACCCCCCCCATTCCCCGTTTTCCCACTCCCTCCTGCACCTGCACCCTCGTCACTTGTCCCTGCGTTTTGGTAAATGGTAGCTGCCTGCATCCGTTTTGCCCAAGGGAAAGCCCGATGTGTTTGTGTCTTCCACTCCCTCCAAAGTCCACTTCAAGGGTCTCTAGCGCTTGTGCTTTGATATCTCCAAATCCTCACCACCTCTGCACCAGAACCTGATTCAGACCTTCTTCTCAGGGCTGGTCAGTGCCCCTGCTCTCCAGGCGTCCCTTTTCCACACTGCTCAGCTGTGCCGTCTTCAGACCCCTCTACTGTCCCCAGGATCCATCACTCGGCCCCTCATCATCTCTCGCCGCCCCGCCCACTCTGGGCTCAGCTGGAGCAGGCTGCTCTCCTCGATCTGTACCAGGACTGCTTTCCCTGCTGCTTCTGCTGGGCCGTGAGCTCCGCTCACACCTCAGCTCCTTGGCAAGCCTTAGTTAAGTGCCTAAGGCACTTGACTGCTAACCAGAAGGCTGGCAGTTCAAACCCACCAGCCACTCCTCAGAAGGAAGGCTGGGCAATCTACTGCCTTAGTGATGCTGCCTCGGGAACCCAAGGAGGGGCAGCTATGAGTCAGGTCTAACTCAATGGCACATAACAGCAACAGTCCCAAACAGGACGTCCCCCGCCTCCTCCCCCAGCACAGGCTTACTGAGCTGGATGGAGACTGTTCGCTGTATGCTCCTTGAGGACAGAGGTGGCCCCAGCAGGTGTGCGCTGATTCTCTCCTCCCCCTCATGCTTTTGTACCTTTTCAGTTTAGTCTTGGTAGCAGCTAAGGAGCAGGCACTATGTTTGCTCCTTTTACAGAAGACAAGCCTGCCACTTGGGAAAGGAATTAACTTGCCAGAGCTGTGTCCTGACTAGGACCAAAGTGCAGACTCATGACCAGTCAGCAGCCTTCCAGGAGTGTTTTTTGAGTGAAGATCACATTGGGTTTTAGAACCAGGTCAGATTCTCTGGCTGCAGAGAAGAGACAGGACAGGCAAGGCCACGCCACAAGAGATGGCAGGAGGCAGGCCGGAAGCCCAGTGCAGGTGATGAGGCGCTGAGCCAGGCAGTGGCTGGAGTGGCTTTGGAAACAGATCTAATAAGGACCTGTTTTACATGGCCATCTTTTTCCCTTTGCTACTAGGCACAGTGGGGGATGCAAAGATGAAACAGAATGACCTGTCTCCAGGGAAGCATCCCTGTGCACATAAGCCACAGACAATCAGGAAGTGATTTTTTTCAGTGTAATTCTTGAGTCTGTTCTGACTGTCTCAGGTCTGCTGGACGGGCTTCCAAAAGAGCTTTTGAGGACAGCTATAAAAAGGGGAAGTTGCCTGACAATCTTGCCAGAGAGTGTTGGCCCACCTGCCTCAATAACTGCTTTACCCATTAGTTCAAAAGCATTTAGTGCCAGCCTTTGGGAGCTCTTGGTCAGCATCAGCCTCAGAGGCCATCATGCGGACTTCTTGGTCCCTTGACAGGACTCTCCCTTGTTGCCAGTGCTCTTGCTGCCCGAATTTGATTTCAGGCAATCTTGATGGGTCTCAGAATTGTCCTGTGACCTGGGCTGTCTTGCTTGGCTGGCTGACCACATGGATAGTGGAGCTGGCTGGAGGCTGTGGGGAGGGACCTCTAGGGCGAGCGTCCAAATCCAAGGTGGGGCACAGAAGCGTTGTCGTGTTACCATAGGTACTCACCTGTGTGTCCATGGAGGCCCAGTTGGGGCTGGGACATGGTCGTTAAAGGCACTCGTGCTCACGGACCTGAACCAGACAGATCTGCAGGAAGTCCCTTTGGCTTAGGACCAAGAGGGAGCCTGTCCTGTGTCCTCCAGCATTTCCGTGAGGTGGCATGACTTCTCACTGTGTGTGTGGCTTCAGTCGACAGGCGGGTTGAGTCCGAGGAGTCAGGTGACGAGGAAGGGAAGAAGCACAGCAGTGGCATCGTGGCTGACCTGAGCGCACAGAGCCTGAAGGACAGAGAGGAGCACAACAGGACAGAGGAGGACCCCGAAGGTACTGAGTGTGCCACAGCTGAGCTTGCATGGGGGCCAGGAAGGCCACTGTGCACCGGGGTGGAGAAGTGGACCTGGGGGGCCCTGAGCGTGCAAGGAGGTCCCTGCTCGCAGGGATGAAGGCAGAGTCAGTTCTCTTGATGCTGCCAGCCTTCCTCCATCTGCAGCCCACACCTCTGTCTGTCTGCTAGAATGTCACTTTACACTGAAGGGAATAGGGAGGCCAGGTGGCCCAGAAGGATGTCCATGACCTGGATTAGGCGGACAGGGCACATGCCCACAGGCTGCGCGTCAGAACCCTGTTTCACCTGCTTGGGAGAGGAAGCTTGTCAGCTGTGGTCATGGATCTTTCCCAGCAGCTTTGAGGGGTTCTGGGGTCTGCGTCTCACAGCCTCCCACTCCTGAGGATGAGTTCTTGAAGTGTTGGTTAGTCATGCATCACTCTCATAAGAATAAAAAGCGAGAGATTTATTTTGAAAACCTGAACTAAATTTTAAAATAACTCTGTGCTTTCTGTACTAGCAAAGAGGATGGGTAACTATGGCAACCTCACTGTAAGGCAAAAGGGGTTCGTCACGAAGTGCCTGCCACGTTTACTTCTCAGAGTCAACCTTTTGGGAGTGATGTGGGTGGCATGAGGCACGGGCAAGGGAGGGCAGGCCAAAGGTGCTCACGTCACTTGTCTACCGGTGTCTGCAGGTTCGTGCTATGGAAACATGGGCCAGTTGGTCACCTTACTGTCTGGTGTTTGTGTAGGATTCCAACATGCACTCTCTTCCCCTTGTTCGTTAGCCAGGACCCTCGCTGCTGTGGAGCCACTGGGGTTGGGCAGGGCTGTCCAGGTCCTGTCCCTCTACTCCAAGCAGATTCTGCATGAAGTCCTTAGGGAAACCAGGCTTTAGTTCCCTGTATCCATTTCTCTTTAGTTCAGTGAAGTTAGTCAGAACACGTCAGCTGTTCCCTCTTCCTTCGTTTCTCTGACTTACTCAGCGAGTCCAGTCAGTACCTGATATATTCAGAGAGGCCTTCAGAAGGGTGAGCCGCCATCTCACTGCGTCAAGGGGCCGCCCTGAGCTGGCTGAGTTACATGCAGGCCAAACCTTGTAAGTCACGCAACCCTGAGCTTGACCCAGATGAGCCTTGTTCACACGTGCTGGCCCAATGGGACCATTTGGAACACCCCTTTTACTCAGAGGTGTGCTGGTTTGGACAAGAAATCCCCCGACACCCACCTTTGTTATGGGGCCTCTTTCAGGACAGCTTCTAGGCCCCCAGCATTTCATCTGTGAAATCTTTGGAAGGATCTGGGTGTTTCTCTCAGTCTTGCTCCTGCCTTTCAATCTGCCTTGAAAGCTGGTGGGTGTCCTGTGAAATGAGGGCTGGCTGTAGTGAGGCCAGCGAGCTAGCGGGACCACCACCTCCTCTTCCTTGAGCTGGTCCTGTGTCATCCTCCTCTGTGAGGCCGACCCCTGGGTGAAGCGTGTGGGTGTGCCCACTGCAGAAGCCAGTGCAGTCCTGCTCCAGGGAAACCCCCCAGCGGTCAGCCCAGGCAAAGCACAGGTGGCGACAACCATGGGCAGGTGGGGAAGGCAGTGGCCATCCCAGGCACGTCACCGGAATCCTGGGTGGGGAGGCACCACAAGACCAGTGGCTGCTTCAGCAGAACATCACAAGGAAAGGACTGAGGAGAAGTGCCATCCAGGCCCGGTCTAGGCTCCTATTTAGACCTGGGGGTGGGGGGTGAGGGTTAATTTATAGGACATTTGGGGAGATGGGGGCTTGATTGCATGTTTGGTGCCATGAGGGAATTGCTGTTAGTTTTAAAGTGTGTGAGCAAAATCCTGTGGTTTGGGTTTTTGGGAGGTGGTTGGTTGGTTGGTTAGTCCTTTTAGAGACAGAAGCTCATGTAGATTCTGACAAAAGAAAAGGCAGAGGGGGCACTGCTAATGTAAGGCTGCTAACGCCCTGCAGCCTGGCAGCTCTCACAGCTCCTGCTAGCCAGGCACCTGGGAGGACCATGGCCAACGCGAGGGGCCAGACAGTCCTCAAAGCCCAGTGGTTCTCACAGACTCCTGCTGGCCAGGCGCCTGGGAGGACCACAGTCAACAAGATGGGCCGATCAATCCTCACAGGCCAGCTGTTCTCATAGCTCCTCCAGGCCCCAGGTGTCTAGAAGGACCATGGCCAATGCCATAGGCTCAACGGTTCTCGTAGCCTACTGGTTCTCACAGCCCTGACAGGCCCTAAGTGCCAGGAGGGCATGGCCCGGCTGTGCTGCCTGTTAGTCTGCAACTTGTAGAGAGAGATGTTGTGAGGCTGGACCACTTTCCACAGTGGTCAGAGGCACACGTGGAGCACCCACTAGGTCCAGCGTGGTCTGTGCTTACCTGGCCATAAACGGGGAGGGAAAGCTGTGTGAGAGGTGGATGCTGTCCAATGAGCAGCAGTATGAATCCTGCGTGCCACCCTCACCCCCCATCCACCAGCAGCTCTCCTGTTCCCTTTCCTTCTGGGACATCAGAGGAACATGTGGAAGAGGGAGATTTCTGCCAGACGGTGCCTCCCTGTTGTCATACCACGTGCCCTGTAGCCTCAGCCAATCATCCGCACCCCCTCTGCCTTCTCCCTGCATCTGCTCTGGTAGCCACATGCCTCCTCGTGGTCCGCTGTCCAGGCCTCGGCCAGGCATGCTCTGTACCTGCTGCCACTGAGTCCCTCTCTTTGTTGTTTCAGGAGAACAGGAGGTGCCTGTGGACATGGAGACCATCAACCTTGACGGAGAAGCCGAGGTAATGCTGCCTGCGCAAGCCTGTGACCATCAGGTCCCCGTTGGTGACATTAGCAGACTAGCGAGTGATTTTCTGAACCAGGTCATCTCTGTCCCCTTGGGTGGCCAGCTTCCTCCAGGTTCTGTTCCTGGTGTTGGAACCCATTTCTTTTCTTTCTTTCTTTTTTTTTTTTTTTTGGTGTGTGTGTGTGATTTGAGATTGCTGTAGGCTTATACGCTAAAAAGAAGTCTTACTTCGTGCATAAGATCTGTTGCACGCCTTTTTTTTTTTTTTTAATTGTGATTTGGGTGAAAGTTGACAGAGCAAATTCATTTTCCGTACAGCAGTTCAGACACATTTTGTTTCATGATGTTGACTGCAATTCCCCACAGTGTAACAGCTTTCCTCCCACTCCCTTCCTGTAGTTACCTCTTCCCTGTGTCCTTCTGTCCTATGCACTCCTGCCCGCCCCCAGCTGTCTCCCTGTGCAAATACTGCCCTTCTCATCTCCCACTGGAGCCCATTTCTGTTTGACCACCGAGAACCATGTGGCCAGTGAAGCATCCTGTGTGCCTTCGTCTCAGACTCCATGGGCCAGAGGATATTGTTGTACATGGCGCCCCCCACCCCCCAGCAGGCCCGCTTGGCAGCTCCCTCTGTGCTGAGCTGGGCCTTCTGCGTTTCAGGACGTGGATCTGAATCATTATAGAATTGGGAAAATTGAAGGATTCGAGGTGCTGAAGAAAGTGAAGGTGAGACAGGTTTTTCACATGAGGTGACCATCACACTCGTGAGTCTGTCACACTTACATGCACAAGCCCATGACAGGGACCCCACATCCACATGTAGCAATCAGGGAGCAGAGGGCATCCCTGGAGCTGAGCTCAGGCCCTTGGTGACGTGAACCAGCTGGCACTGGTAGGCCTCATCTGGGGCCTCCCTTAGAATAAGCGCATGCATTAGCTGAAGGAGCTTTTCAGAGAAGGTCATTTCCTCTTGTGTGCGGGGGGTCTTCCTTGTGCCCAAGGCAGCAAACATTCCCAACCACAGACTGACCCTCCCTCCCCAGGGGTCTGCAAGTGCAGAGCTCCCCTGAGGCCCAACACTGGTGGGGCCGGGCCAGTTCTGTTCATGGGCCTCTTCCTGAAAGTCACAGGGCAAGCCATGTGCCCCGGGGGGGTTTGCTTGTCCCTGCCCTGCGGTGACCCCTCACACAGCCCTGTGCCCCGGGGGGTTTGCTTGTCCCTGCCCTGCAGTGACCCCTCTCACAGCCTGTCTGCTGGTCCCTAGACTCTCTGTCTCAGGCAAAACTTGATCAAATGCATCGAGAACCTGGACGCATTGCAGAGCCTTCGCGAGCTGGATCTGTACGACAACCAGATCAAGAAGATAGAGAACCTGCAGGCGCTGACTGAGCTGGAGTGAGTCAAAGCCCTAAGAGGCCTCTGTGCTGGTGGCCCACCCGCCCCAGGCCCAGCCCAGCCACGTACATCGGCCATCCACCGCGCACTCAAGTCCGGCTGGTCTCGATTCCAAGACCATGTAGAACGGGCTAGGGAAAGACCCTCCAAAACTTAGCCAAAATCCTTCTGTTTGCCTTTTGTGTGTGTGTGTGTGTGTGTGTAAAGGGAGCAATGATATTTCTAACTGAAGGAGTGGGCTCCCAGGTACAACTTCTCTCTACTTTGTCTTGTTTTGGTTTGGCTTGTTTGCTTGGTTTTGGTTTTAAATTGGCACTGGGTGCCATCTGGGTGCTAAGCCAGGCCCCGTACTCTGCTGCAAACACGTTGACAGGTCTCTTCTGCCCTCAGCAGTAGGCTGGGAGCCAGGGTAGTGGGAGGTTCCCTCCAGGTCTGCCCCAGGCAGGGCATATCCAACAAGGGGAAGACCTGACAAGTCAAGTGCTGGGGTGCCAGTTAACAAAGTGTGCTTCCTCCCAGGGTTCTAGATATTTCCTTCAACCTGCTGAGAAGCATTGAAGGGCTTGACAGGCTGATACACCTGAGAAAACTCTTCCTGGTCAACAATAAAATCAGCAAGATCGAAAATGTGAGCAACCTGCATCAGCTGCAGATGCTGGAGCTGGGGTCCAACCGCATCCGGGTAGGTGCTGGCGTGCCCGGCGGCCTGCATCACCTAGTAACAGGCCAGCAGTGAGGAGGGATGGGGTCCAACCGCATCCGGGTAGGTGCTGGCGT